CATTAGCATATATATCCCATTCCCACCTTAATAAGTTCCAGGTATTGTGTCTTCTATACTATATGATGCTGATAAATTATCAACAACTGAATGAATTTTAGGTATTTATGGAGGTTGTTGAGTTGATGAACAAAAGAATAAGGGTTTCAATGTGAAAAATGATCTTCTTAAATATAACGATGTTTATTTCATAAATTAAATTTATATGTGTTTTAGTTTAATTTTGAGTTAATCAATTATTATATATATAAAAATTCTAAATTAAAATGTCAGGGAAAACAAGAGATTACTTTGGCACACTGAAATCTGTAAATTATTCAATTTAGTTTAGGCTGGAAGAACTGTCTTAAAGGAAGAAAGTGCGAGTGACTGTATACAACCTGTTTAAAACTAAGTAAATTTAGTCAGTTACGTAGGTCCCTGAAACTCCTCCTCACATAAAGAAATATCGTAAATCATATAAACATCAACATGGTTGTACTATTGTAAATATAATTAATTAAATTTAGTTACATCCAGGACTTGTAGATGCTCCAAAGCCATAAGGTAATTGGCTTTATGGAAAAAAGACTGATCCATCTGATAAAGCAGGAGATCTATTTAAATAATAGCCTGAAGGAATTAAAGAATTGATCAATGAAATAAATGAACAAAAATATGCCTCTCATATTAAAGAGCCATTAGGTACTATGCCCACAAGAAATTATAATTGGCCTGAAGAATCTAAATCAGATGGTTTTGCTTTTGGTTAAAAGATTCCACCTTCTGAATTCACAGCAAAAGAAGTTGTGTTTCCACCTGATGCCAAAAGAGATGAAGAAAGTGTTAGATTAATGTATTTGAAAAGTCATGGAAATTTTGAAGCAGGAGAATAAAAAAATAGAGAATATAAGTGGAATGTCAATCCAAATGAATATAGATTTGGTAAAAAAGATGAAAGAGAGTAAGAATAAATGAAAAAGATTTTACAACATGAATTAACACAAAATTAATATCCTAAAACAACTATTATTTCAAAGCATTAGGAAGATTGGAAGAATTATAACGAAGATCCTCTTGGTAAGCCTAAAAATTTAGCTTAAATTAATTCTAGAATGCCAGCAATATTTGGAGAAACAAAAAAAGATGAATAATGGACAGCTGGATAATGCATTAATGGTTAACCTACATAAAAAGAAGTTTAGCCAGATATTGATTTAGGCAAAGCAACAAAGTTTGGTTTTAGAAATTAAACAAAATAAGGAGATGAAACAAGAGCATTTGGAGTTCCTACAATCAGAAATGATATTGTTAAAACTGGAATGAAATCTGTTGCAGATCCTTAAAATTATGGTGATGAAGTTCCAGCAGTTGCATTATTATTTCCAGAAAAGTTTTCACATATGGGATTAACTGAATAAGATTTTTTAATGTTAAGAAATAAAAAAGATATTAAATAAATATTTGAATCTATTGGAATTAAGTATGGTATTGGAAAATTTGAAGGTGTATTCAAAAGAGCAAAAGAAATTGTAAATTATTAATTTTATAATGTTAGCAAAATACATTTGATGATAAAGTATCAGTCAAAGCATTTTAATTAGCTGTTTAAGAAATGCATCATATTGATTGATTTAATAATAACATCTATCTAAATATTAAAAAAATATATTCCATTCAAGTAATGCTCATGGTTTTTTAAATCAATTCACATTAATTTCAAAGGAAATTAAAAAAATTCACTATAAGTTATGGTAGTAAATTATTGTATTTCTTAATCTATTTATGAAAATAAACATTATCTAATCTTAATTCTATAGCTTAACTATATAGTATGAATTAATAATAAAAAATTTTAATTTGGATAAGGTGTTTTATTAATTAAAATGAAATATAAAAATTTATATATTTTGGTTGTTAAGTCTTATTTGATATACTCTATTTTTAAGTATGGATAACTATTCCATTTTTAGTTTAAATTCCATCTCTTCTCATTTACAATATTTTTATAATTATATTTATAATTGAGTCATAAAGCATTTTAAATAAATGTAGTACAACTCTTGATAATCTCTTTAATATAGATGAAGAAGAGTATAGATAAAAGGAAATGTTTGGATTAGTTACTGATGAAATAAATTGGCTCATTAAGTTTATTTAATTTGAAAATTCAAACTTGGTTTATTGAAAAATTATATTAAAATAATTTTTTTTTCTTGATTTCTAATTATACATAAACAATAACTTTTTTTTAATATTTAGAATGCTTTAATTTTATTTAGTTTGATTATTTTCTAAAATATTTGAAAAGAATTTAATTTAATGAAAATTAATGAAATTTGTATGGTCAGATTTACATAATTAATATTGAAAGAATGTTTTGCATATTTTATTCAATTTAATCTATTTATTCATTAAATATTATTCTATAGCTCCTCTTCTGATATAGATTCGGAACTATGATCTTTAAGAGAGGCAAATAATTTTCGGAAATATTATTTACTTCTTATTTAATTTTGCATTTCTTTGTTTGGCTTGAATAATTTACTATTTTTTTTTCTTTTTATCATTTAAACATTAAATGGATTGAACTTTTAATGGTGTGATCTGTTGTTGTAATAGGTTTTGAAATATTATACCTGCATTAACTTGGACTTCTTGTAGCAATTACTTAACTCATTTTTTTGAATAATCTTTATCCTTTGTTATTTTGAGATGATTCAATCAAATCTTAAGACTAATGAAGAAAATCAAGGTAGAGTTAGTGTTCTGCAGGTGTCCAATGGCCTGATCTTAGATTATTATTCTAATATAGCTCTTATGCTTTACAGATAGGCATAGCTGGTACTTAAAATAAGAAGATTAATGTACCTGTTACATCAGATTTCATCTGATATTTTTAAATCTTGAATTAAAAAATTAATATACCAATATTTATACATTAAATATTACTTATAAATCTCTTGGATTTATTTATTTAAAATTAGGATATAGAAAGATAATACTTTATATTTTTGGAAGAATGAATGATAAATCTAAAAATAATTATTTGTTTATTATTATTTGAGAATTATTATGAATTTATTATAAATCAGAATTCTTTTTTGTTTTATAGGCTATTAGGTAAAATCTACTAAGTGGATGAGTCAAAAATCTTCTTCTTTTATCTTTAAACTTCTTCATTTGGAGTTAATTTATCTAATCTTAAAATTAAATCACTTGTTAATTCATATATTTTCTCTTTATTTAATTCCAAATATCTAAGTGCTTCATTATATAATTCATTATTCAAGTATTCCTTATAAGGAATTCTAATCTCTTCTAATTTACCTTTAATTAATTTTGAAACTTAATTTTGGGTTTAATTTTAGTTGAAAATCAAAAATTTTGAAATTTATTGTATATTTTTCTCTAATTCTACTGGAGGTTTATTTGTTTACTTTGCAAAATTGATTTAATCTTTAATAGCTTTAATGAAAATAATTTGAATAGTAGATTCAAAATATTCTTCTAATGTTTCTTTTTGGGATTATTATTATTTTTAATTTTTTTCTGGTAAAGGAATGCAAAAAAGTTGAATATCATCATTTTAATAACAGGCTTCACAATAATAACTAATAATAAAATAATAATATTACCCAGCAATCACTAATTTAAAGCAATAGTATAAAGCTTTGCAATGTTAATGTTTTAAACAGACAATTGAATTAATTTATTTCAATTTTTAAGGAGAGCTAATATAAAATATCAAAAATACGGAGTTTCTTCAAAAATTCCTTTTTAATTCGAATTAAAATATAATTATATCAATTCTTTATATGTCTTTCTATCACACTCTTCATATTAAAGCATATCTGTAATTAAATTTCTAATTCTGATATTTTCTATTTTATCTAAAAACATGTTTTTCTTATTTTTTTATTCTACCTTAGATCATTATTATTTGTCATATACCATATTAAGTCCAACGATCTCAGTTGTTAACAGTAATGTACATTGAAGAAAAGTTAAGCCAAGTGAAAAGATATCAGATTTTTCTAAATCGTGTTTTATTTTTTCAATTTAACTTGGCTATTCAGATCTAGTAACAAATGCATTCCACAAAATTGGAGAAAAATAGACTGGAGTTCCAACTATAGTATTTTTTAAACTTTCCTAAATATTCAATTCATGCAAACTCTTTGAAACTCCAAAATCTGTGATTTTTGGAATTAAATTATCAGCTTCAAGTATTAGGATATTTTCTGGTTTGATATCTCTAAAAAATTAATATCAATTATTTTACCTATGAAAAATTTATTTTTATTCAACAAGTGTTGAAAATGTTAATAGACATTTCTTAAATAACTCAAGCAATTAAAAAGCTGAAAAATATGATCTTTCTTGTTTTCTTGTATGAATTTCTTTTTATAAGCTACGATCTGCTAATTCCATTACTAAAAGAAGACTAAATTTTTTTGGCATTAATTCTTGCCAAGCATAGACTTTTACAACATTTATAACATTTGGATGCATGTTAATGAGCTAATTAATTTTAAACTCATTTTAAATTTTGTTAAACATCTATTCATTTATAACTTCTATTTGTTTTGCTGCATAATATTTCCCTTTTTCTAAAGGAGAATTATCGCTTTTGCATAACAATTTATACACTTTTCCAAATGCACCTTATCCTAAGCGAACAGGGTTTGAAAAATCAAAATCTTTAATAAATTCTTCCTTAGTTGGATAATACATTTATTTAAAATAATTGAAAATAAAAGAAAGTATTCACATGTATATATATATATAACTTTTGTTTATAAAAAGTAATTTTTAAATATGACATTTATAAGTTGTTGATGGGATTTTAATTATATTAAGTACAATTATTCTTTAAAAATAATACTTCACTTAGTTATTTTAGTAAATTAAGCTATAAAACATAATGATTATGATATATGAAAAATGAAACAAAGATTTCCATATGTAAAAATGATGAATTCTTAATTTGATATGTTATTAAATAAAGTTTAACATTTTCAGAAATTAACTAAAAATATTTTGATATTTAAGATATTCATTTATTCTAAAATAATCTTAATTTNAAGCATATCTGTAATTAAATTTCTAATTCTGATATTTTCTATTTTATCTAAAAACATGTTTTTCTTATTTTTTTATTCTACCTTAGATCATTATTATTTGTCATATACCATATTAAGTCCAACGATCTCAGTTGTTAACAGTAATGTACATTGAAGAAAAGTTAAGCCAAGTGAAAAGATATCAGATTTTTCTAAATCGTGTTTTATTTTTTCAATTTAACTTGGCTATTCAGATCTAGTAACAAATGCATTCCACAAAATTGGAGAAAAATAGACTGGAGTTCCAACTATAGTATTTTTTAAACTTTCCTAAATATTCAATTCATGCAAACTCTTTGAAACTCCAAAATCTGTGATTTTTGGAATTAAATTATCAGCTTCAAGTATTAGGATATTTTCTGGTTTGATATCTCTAAAAAATTAATATCAATTATTTTACCTATGAAAAATTTATTTTTATTCAACAAGTGTTGAAAATGTTAATAGACATTTCTTAAATAACTCAAGCAATTAAAAAGCTGAAAAATATGATCTTTCTTGTTTTCTTGTATGAATTTCTTTTTATAAGCTACGATCTGCTAATTCCATTACTAAAAGAAGACTAAATTTTTTTGGCATTAATTCTTGCCAAGCATAGACTTTTACAACATTTATAACATTTGGATGCATGTTAATGAGCTAATTAATTTTAAACTCATTTTAAATTTTGTTAAACATCTATTCATTTATAACTTCTATTTGTTTTGCTGCATAATATTTCCCTTTTTCTAAAGGAGAATTATCGCTTTTGCATAACAATTTATACACTTTTCCAAATGCACCTTATCCTAAGCGAACAGGGTTTGAAAAATCAAAATCTTTAATAAATTCTTCCTTAGTTGGATAATACATTTATTTAAAATAATTGAAAATAAAAGAAAGTATTCACATGTATATATATATATAACTTTTGTTTATAAAAAGTAATTTTTAAATATGACATTTATAAGTTGTTGATGGGATTTTAATTATATTAAGTACAATTATTCTTTAAAAATAATACTTCACTTAGTTATTTTAGTAAATTAAGCTATAAAACATAATGATTATGATATATGAAAAATGAAACAAAGATTTCCATATGTAAAAATGATGAATTCTTAATTTGATATGTTATTAAATAAAGTTTAACATTTTCAGAAATTAACTAAAAATATTTTGATATTTAAGATATTCATTTATTCTAAAATAATCTTAATTTATATATGCTCAATTATTTAAGAAATATTATTATGATAAAGATGATATATAGTATCAATTAAATTAATAAGAGTAGCATATAGTAATTTTTATGAAATTTCTATTTGAAATTTATGTATATGTAGCTTAAAAAGAAAATAGGTAGAAAAATTGGAAAATTTGACAAAAGGAAGTCTTTAAGTTAGTTGAAAACAAGAAGTTTTAAAGGGATTGACTTATACTACTTAAGTAATTGACTAATGGTTTTTAAATATATCCCTTTTTCTTAATTTATTCTATTTATGAATTCAAATAAAGATTTAACATTATAACTTAAATTTAATAATTTATGATAACAATCTATAAATTTGCTATAAAAATGCTCCAATAAAATATAATAATATAAGATACTGAAGAATAATATCATAAAATCAACTCCTAATCACTATTCACTTTTTTATCTTTTTTCCTTACCTTCACTCCATTAACTTCCACATTATTACCCATTTTTATCAATAAATACTCCTTTGCCATGTTATTTTCCTTCTCGAAACTATCCAATATATTTTGATCCATCTGCCCATTTAAATTCTCCCTCACCATGTTTAAGATCATTGTAATATTAACCTTCATATTCTCTACCATCAGGCCATATAAAATGACCTTTACCATGCATTTTACCATCCTTAAAATGTCCTTTGTAACGTCTTCCATCAGCAAATATCAATTCACCGAAACCTGTAATTTAATCATTCTCAAATTATCCATTATATATATCACCATTAGGGAATTTTGCAATACCTTTACCCTACTTTTTTCCTTCTTTAAAAATCCCTTCAAATTGGCTGCCATCATTTAAAATCTCTTTTCCTTAACCATGCTACTATAAATATTATATTAACCTTTTAATCTAGCAACCATTCTCCTTAATATTGAGAACCATCAAATTCATAAAATATACCATAACCATTTGCAGAATTATTTTTCCATTCCCCATCATATGCATTACCATTTGAATGAATAATTCTGCCTCTTCCATTAGCTTAATCAAATTTCCAATAGCCTTCATAGATTGAGCCATCTGCAAAATACTATTTTCCTCTGCCATGCCTCAATCTCTATAACCACTAACCTACATAAATATTTCCAGTGTTTTTTTTATGTTCCTAAATTATAACATTTTAAATACATGAGGCATAAAAAATCGACATTCATTAAATTCTTAAGGCAACTATTTCTCAAACTTAAACTTACCCAACTTATTATATGTTATTTAAACATTCTATTCCAAAGTCTTAGGCTCTTTACTTTATATCCAAGCATCCCCTGGTTTTTCTCTTTCAGCCTCTTCCTTCATCTAAGCAGCTACTTTTTTAGCTTTTTTCTTCCTTATTGATTTTTGGATTGTTATAATCTCTTCCTCATGTTCTTCAAAGTTTATTTGTTATGGAACTAATGTAGGAACTTATTCTGGTTCAAATTATCTGAACTCAACATTTTAAATAAATCCTCCTGGCTATTATGAACAACAGATGCCCATTAAATAATTATTTATTTTTCTAAAAGTTATTAAAATTTTATAAAATATCCTTCTATATTTAAAACAAAAATTTTGTTAAGTCTCTTAGATTTAGAAATGAAGCTTTTTACAATTTATATAATATAAACTATATAGAAAAAGTTAATAAAAATCAAATATATACTCGAAAATCATATTATGATATTTAATTTTAAAGCATTTTTTCTTTTATTTAAATGTTTTGCCTTTAAATTATTAGTTAATTAATTAGAAATGAAACGATCTGATTATGGACTGGCAGAGTATGTTTTATCTGTTGATGTTGGAGAATCTCCATTGATTGGAGGTAGTTTTATGATATTAAGTGACTATTCTAATTTTTCCCTTTGGGATAATCTTGGTGCAATTTTGCTTGTTCTTCTTACAAAGACATTTGATAATTATTATGAAATTAACATTTTCGAATTTCTAGGTTTATTAAGAAGTTTAAAAACTTCAAGTTCCAAGATATTCTCACAAGTTAGAGAATCAATTTATTTTTAATATTTTTCTGTAAATATCATTTCAAAAAATCTTTAAAATGGAGGTGATAATTCCATATATTCAATATAGCTGATATTTTTAAAGTTTTTCATTAGTAATTCATCAACCAATTAATTTTCTTAATAAAATTTTTTAGTTAAAATGCTTAACATTATAATACTTAAAGAGTATATGTCTTTTTTCATATACAATTTTAGAGCTCCTTCTTCTTAAAATGTAACATGATTTTAAGTTCTTTTTTTTTAAGGTATTTACACTGCTTTTCCAAAATTAATAAAGCAAACTGTTTCTAAATCCTAAGGATCCCTAAGTAAAATATTATCAAATCTAATATCTGTATGATAAATATTCTATTTATGTAAATAATTTAAAGAAACAAAAAGTGATTTCATAATTTTTATCATCTCTTAATCACTTAGATCTTATTTATTTATATATTATTTAATTGGTCCTCCTTCCAATAATTCTGTAACTATGTATATATTTTGTTCTCCTTCAAAAATCTCATATAATTTTAATAATCCTTTATGATCTATTTGTCTCAAAATACGAATTTCATTCATACATAACTCCCTCTGATAATTATTACTTTTAATTAGATTTTATTTTTCGTATATTTTGACAGCAAATTCTTAACCATTAATATTATTTTGCACTTTATAAACCTAATTTTATTAAATTTCTTACTTAAGATAAATATCCATTTCCTAACTTAGTCAATATTTTGTACTTTGATTAAAAATCAGATTGAATCATATATAACTTAATTTTATTTAATAATTCTAGATGAATTCCAAAAAATTCTGCATACTATCCATTTTTGCTTATTCGAAAACCATATTATTTGGTTTTTTAATTGATTACACCTCTTAAACACATATTTTCAATATCAATATATTTATCTTATTTCTAAATTTAATTCTTTATATACTTCATCGCTAATTTTAAGAATTGTATCTGACATATAAATTGTTCCAATAGTTATCTTTTTTTGATATGTCATTTAAAAAATTCCTTGATCTATAAATTGAAGATTTTCGTATGGTAAAGTAGTAAATAATTAATTGCCATCATTAAAAAATGATGTCTTTGAGTTATCAGATAAGGAACAAGTACTTTTTTTCATTAAAAATATAAATCAAAGTTTTTCATTCATAAAAAAAAAGCTAGTTAGGAATTCGTTAAATTTCAAGAATAGTAAATAATAAAATAAAAATTGTGAAGCAACTAAAATGATTTTGAAAGTTTTTTTAAATTCATTTTGAACAGCATATTTAGAAAGTATTATCCTAATATGATTTATTATTAAATTAATACTTAAGTATGTTTGAATTAAATATAATCATTATGAATAATTTTCTGCAATTCATATTCAGAAATTCCTTTAATGTTGATATTTATATATAATAATATATAGCATTTTGATTGTAGAAAAAAGAGAAATTCAGTTTTCTAGTTTAATTAGTTTTAATTATTTGATAATAGCTTAATATTAATAATAATATAAAATCATTTTGATACCTCATGCTAAATAAATATACTTTATGAATCTAATTAAAGGGTTTGGATTACAGATTGTTGACTATTAATAATTTTTATAAATTCCTTTTTAATTTAAACAGTTAAATTTAACTGTTTTTCAAATGTTGTCTTAGAATTCATTTTTGAGTTGAAACAAATATAAAAATAGTATATATAAATATTTAAGATATAACTAATTTATTCATTTGAATAATGATGATAAATATACAATAAATAGTTCAATTAAATTAGAATTTATTTGAAAAATGACTTCTATCTGTTTATGGCTTTTAACTAGAAGACATTGATTTCGTTTACAATCTAGGAGTAGAGGAGACCAAATGATATTTTTTTGATGATATCTAAGATAATTAGGGATTTGTATCTTCAAGGTTTGTCCTTCTAGCTGATGTTAATTATTATGTATTTAAATGAGGTATAGTTGGTTTAGTTACAGAAGTATTTTAAAAAGGAACTTAAGTGATAGTTTGATCAAATGTATATCCATTGAAAAGATCTTAAACAGATTGTCTTCTTAACATTAAACCATTTTATTGAATAGTTTGATTGTCTTCTTCTTCTCTCATATTAGCAAATTTAGAATCAAAATTATCATGATTACACTATAAGTATGTTAACCAATATTACATTAATTTAATAGGGAGAAACAACTGTTTAATTAAAGAAAGAAGTCCAATCAATATCTTTGAACCAAGGATGATTTTAAACCTCTTCTGGACCATTAGCTCCTAATCGATTACTTGGCTTTCTTTATAATGATCTGTTAATAAAATCAGCTGATTCCTCTGACCATCCATCTGGAATTTAATTTAATTTAACTAAGACTTATTTAGCTAGAATTTAATCTCTAATTTCCCTTCTGGTCTTGCCTACATAAGGTCTCTACATAGAACTAAAATTTATACTTTTCCAAACATGCATTCATAAGCAATGACTCCTACTGCAAAGTAATCTGAGGCCACTCCATGGGCTTATCTACACATTACTTCTGGAGCCATATAGCCTGGAGTTCCACTAGTATCATTTTCATTATCAGGTTTCCAGATTCTGGCTATGCCTAAATCAGTTAATCTTAAATAACCTAATTTAGATTTTGAATAATAACCATTTCTATCGAAGACTAAATTCTCAGGTTTGACATCTCTATGTAAGATTGTATTAGTATGTAAATAATCCAAAGCCATTAATAGACAAACTATAAAGAACTCTTAAAATAGTCTCAAAATATTTACTTGTTTGTTTTTCAGTAAATCTTTTTTGTTTACATAAGTGGTATCTTAGATCGCCTCCTTACATCAAATCCATTACCAAATACAAATTTTCTCTATCCTAAAATGATGCATGCATATTAACTAAAAATCTATTTAGATCATATTTATTACGGATGTCTTAAATTACTCAGCAGATATTTTTCATTCATGACAGAACTTACACTCTTTTTATTTACAATTCTAAAGGATAAGATGTTAAATACTTGCATTTGCTCATCTCTTTAATTGCATATAATTATTTAGTCTTTTTATTCTCTGTCTTCCAAACTCTTCCAAATCCTCCTCTACCAATAACAAAAAGCATATGAAAATCAGTTTTTGAAGGCACTATATATAATTTGTTTATTGTTACATGAAACATCATCAAAATTTACATCTTTGCTGTTATTACAATTTCCCATATGAAAATTAAAAATATATATATATATATAAATAATACAATAAAATCAAGGGGATTTTAGTGATGATAACTCTGCATCATATTCTTTATTTACATTAGCTTAATTGTTCTGGATTAATATTGACTAAGTATTAAGCAAAGGACTTTGGAGAAATATCTTTTAAACTAAGAAGCAATAAAAAAGCTGTGTCTTTCGATTTAGTAAAACTAAGACACTGAGTTAACTTTGTGGATGATTAATATTAATTGGATTTAGATTTTCAAATGATAAATAGACTTGATTATCTATTCTCGAAGAGAATGGTTCCTCTTAATAAAATTCATCCTGATCCATTTTGTTAATAAGTCATTTCATAACACTGTTTGAAAGCTATTATGTAAATAGATTCAAAAAGATATGCTCTGAAAAAATTAATGCTTCTTAAATTGGCTTTGTTTCCCACATGGGATGTTCACTATATATTATTGCTGCTTTAGTAAGGGAATTGTAATCTTAAATTTAAAAAAATAATAAGGGATTTTCTTAGATCTATCTCATGCCTATAACTGTGTTAATAAGTATTTAGTCTTCAAAAGGTTAAGAGAAGAAGAAAATTTCAAAGGTTATTTTAATGAGAATGAATTGTATACCCTTGAATGGGTTCATGAAACCTTATATATGTACGACCCTTTGTAAAAGAAAAAGTTATTTTACAAAATGGAGTACATTAAGGATCAATATTGGCTCTCTTCTTATTTGAAATTTACTTTGATTAGCTTATGTAAAGAGAGGTTAAAGATGTTAAGTAGAAAATAATAAGTAAGAGAGTTGCAGACTTTGACCATTGAACTACATCAGAAATAACTTACTTTAAAATATTATTATATAAAAAGAAATAAAATTATAGAAATTATATAATTAGTAACTTAGTTTATATGTTAAAAATAATCAATTAAGTTGCTTATCGATTTAAAATATAAGATTGTTCAATAGAAACGTAAATGATCTTTATTTTCAATTATATTAATATTTATTATATAATGATTTTAGAATAAGCTGTATAATATATATTAACGATATAAGTTATGTGATGAGAATGAATATACAAGGTTAGAAAAAATAAGAATTGGATGTAAGTATATATCATCCCAAATGCCATTTATGACATCTTTTAATGATCCATAAACTATAAAATAGTGTAATATTTTAAAATGATTTTAAGTAATTTGCTGTTATCCTTTTTCAAAGAATAATGTTGAACTTCTAGTTTCAGCTCTTTTTGATCGATTTAGAGATTTAGACTTTTTCAATTCATTTTACAAAGCAATAAATGAAATTTCTCAATTCCCAGAACAAAAAGTGCTTCTTAGTAATGCTAGAAGTATAAAATAATCATCAAGAAAATCAATTTTGAGGTATTTCTAATTTTATATTTTTAGAGGAGCAGGAGCATCAACAGTTTAATATTCAAAATAATTAATAGAGAGTCTCATAAAGGTAAAATAATTTGCTTCTCAATATCTATTTTAATTGTTTCAATTAGGATCTGAATTGGATATTAATTTAGAAGAACAAGCAAATATATTTTTGAAATTTCTGAGAAACACAAAAGAGGAAGGCTTCATTACAGAGATAATTGATATCTTTTAAAATATCAAATAGAACATATTCAGAAATTCTTTATGGTCAATCTCCATTGAAGATTAAATTGAATAGTGTAATTTAGATATGAAAAGAATTTAGACTTTTATACAATCTAGCATCCTTCAACAGTAACAAGAATCGAAGTTCCATAATATGATACTGATTCAGAGACAGAACAATCTGAAATTGATATGTATGAAGTGATAGAAGAATGGATATGTTCAGATGAACAAGGTTACATCAAATAATAAATAGAGTACTTCAGAAATGATGTTTATTTTGAATTCATTATGAAGTTAATCTTTGATCCTCTTAATTCATAACCAATACCTTTATGGGTATTAGTATATATTTATAAAATAGTTTAAAATTCTAATAAATGAAAAAGATGACATTAATGATTATAGAATATGGAAATCAGATTCCTAGAAGCTAGATCCTGTATACAATCTTAGATCAAAAAAAGTTTTAAAGATAATCACTAATGATAAAAATTTTGCTATCATTACTAAATAAGTACCTCAATTGTTGATGAAAATATGTAAATTATAATTCAATTTAGTTTATATGATTTATGAATCTCTTGCAGATTATGAGAAAATAGTTAATCTGTAACATATAGGTTTTTTAATTGATTACTTATTTTTGCAAAGTCCTAAATCTTGTCTCTATTATGTTGTAGATTTAAATTTGCTATTTGCTTTTTCTTAATACATTTATAATCCTTATTTATTAAATATTTGTGAAAGTAATCTTTATAAATATTCTAGAGATGATGAATTTAATTGATGATGAATATTAATTAGGTATGCATGTTTAAGAATTATTTTGGTTATATATTTAATCTTCTTAATTATTTGATTATCTAACATTAATAATGACTAATTAACCAGTAGACAGATCTAAGTAGGAGAGATCTTATAAATCTGAATAAGCAGTAATAAATTAGATTAATTTTAGTATCATGTTATTCCATTATTGAAGGCTTAAACTAACTTTGATAAATTACCTATAATTTAAGAATCAAATTTAAGTGAGAAAAAATACTTAACTGAACTCTTAGGTTAAATTACTCCAGGTAAAACTCCAAATGATTTTTATGGAATGACTAAAAATAACTGGCATTTGTATGATGATATATAAGAATATGTTTCAAGTCAAGAATTTAAGTTTAAAGATTTAGATAATCTAAATGAATTTGTAAAATAAAGAAATTAAAATCATTCTAAATTTTAACATAATTTTGATGAATAAAAATTTAAAAGATAAAGAACAATAGTTTTAACTTAACACAATTCAGTAAGTCCATAAAATAAAGGATTATGTGGTTAAAAGTTAAGTGCTATTGATATAGATAAATTTGAAACTAAATCTACACTTAATAAAAATAGTAAAGCCTTACCTCGATTAAATTCAGCCACAAAATAAAATAAATGGATTAATGTTAATTAATAAAAAAATTATCTTAGACAAGGTACTCAATAGAAACAATAATTGCTTATGAACACTTCAATTCGATTAAGAACTTTTGGTTCTGATAAGTCTGATTTTAGTTCTAATGACGGATTTTCGAGTAGTCGTTTGAAAACTATTTATCCTAGTTATAAGATGCAATAAGAGACTAAATTTGAGAAGGATTTGTAATAAATACATAAAAATGAATCCACAGCTTCTTCTTGTTCTTAATTAATAAAGGGATTAATTTAAACAGCATTTCACTATTGTTGGAGGAAAATTAACACTTTAGGATTATGCAAACAATTATATAAATTAAATACAGATTTAGTATTTTGTTCAATAATTACAAAAAATAATTTAGAAAGATTATTTCAAATTTATTTATCATCTTTACATTGTTCAAATGATGGATTATTATCTAGTGCTGATGAATGTGGGATGATTATTAATTAAATATATTCTAACTATCCTAGACTAAAATAATCTAATTTAATTGTGGAAAGTTTAAAAACATGTTTTACAAATGTTATTGATTTCTTATGTAAGACAATTGTAAAACTAAATAAATAATAAAATAAAATGGGTCATTAATAATTAAATTTCAAATAATTTATTATTACTGATACAATATTATATGGATTTTAAATGTTTGAATAAAGTAAATCCTAAATTTAATAAAAGAATCCTTATTTGTATTTGAATGAGACTGTATTACATATTTTAGTAATTTGGTATTTCGATTACATTTAATTGAATATCCAATAGGAATAATTTATCAATTTATTTATCCTTATTATGACAAGAGCTCCATAACATATAATTATGCATTTAATTTTTAAATTGGGATTTATCACTTCTCTATATAATTTTTATTCAAAATATAGTAAAAATGGTATGATATGCACAACAGGTGTAGAATCATTTTATTTACATTTAACATTCATTATTCATATAATTAATGAATCAATTAATAATAGAAATCTATCTGTTGTTTAAGTAAGTTTAAATTAATTACAATCATGGTAATCCTTACTACAAATACTTCCAAATCCAAACAGTAAGGCAGTTCTAATATTGAATTAGAGAATGAAATGTTCTTCAATTTTTATACCTACAAGAGTAGCTGTAAATTAATTTCATAGTATGAAATCTATGGATGGAGAATAGATCATAGTTCCATAGAAAATGATTTTAGATTCTATTAAATAGAAGTAATAATTCAAATAATTATATCTAATAGATTAAATGTGCCTACCGATCTTATTGATAAAAAGAAAGGTTAGAAATTTTTGAGTTGTGTCAAGGAAAAAGTTGAACAACAAAAAAAAGATCATTAAGTAAAGGCTAGATGATTGATATTATATATTTATATATTAATTTTATATGATACTTGAATATGCTGTAATAATCTAACTTAATAATTAGCTAAATGAAGAAGATGAATATAAAAGAATGACAAATATTACTAGAGGATGTCAATAATTAGCACAATAATTGCCATTTTATGAAACTTTTTCAAACTCTAATTTAATAAGATAATGTACTATTTATATTACTATTGAGTGTTTTGTTGTTATCCCTTTTAAGAAGAACCTGTAAAACTATTGTTAAATATTATGATGGAAAGATTTTAAAATCTAGAGTTCTTAAATTGTTTACATAAGGGTTTGAATGAGCTTGCCCTATTGTAAGAATAAAAGACTATGTTAAGTTGTAGATCAGCTGGAAGAAGAAGAAAAAGTCAATCAAAGTACTATAATATTATATTAGGAATATAAATTGGATAGGCATTCGCAAAAAATGTAATTGAAAGTTTGGTAATATCAAAACAATTTGGAGTTACTTATTTAAAACCAATGTTTCTATTAGTCTCTAAATTAAAATAGTCTTTAGAGAGTAGATGTGGAATTTTTATGTCTTTTCTATTTAATACTAGAGATCAATAAATTATAAAATTGTTGGTTGATATCTTTTAAGATTGTAAAAATGAAATCTTTGGTGCTTGTACTTGGGTCAATAGAATTGAAGATCAATTTGAACAATGTATAGTATATTAATTATTAAAAAGATTTCTATTAAAATTAAATAATAAGATCTTCCAGTTCAATTCAAGTCGATTTAGATTAACTTATTGATAATAGTGAAGCAACTGAATCTTCTATAGAAATTGATCCAAATGAAGAAATATAAAAATGGATATGTTAAGATAATATTCCTCTTGTCAATGAATAATTAGACTACTTTAGGAGTCCTGAATATTTAGAATTAATTTTTAAATACATTTTCGATCCAAATCATTTATCTACTATACATGAATGGGTATTTATACTTTTATATCTAAAGTCCCATCACTATAGTCATGTAAAAGTTAAGCATAATTATAAATCAAGAAAACCTGATCAAACTTAAGAAATAGATTAATTGTGTCTTATTCGTTCTTTGAAAACTCTAAAATTACTGATTCACGAAAATAATTATACAGTAATTAGTAAATTAGTACCATAATTCATTATAAAATTATGTATAATTTTAAATATTAATTTAGTTCATGGCATTTATGATGCTCTAAATGATAAAGATAAGAATGTAGATCTTAATTAAATTACTCTATTATTGGATTCTCTATTATAAGTAAATCGCAGATAATCTATATTATTAATTATTGAATTAAATCTTATGTTTTAATTTGTGTCTTTGATGTATAATGAAAATATTGAAATACTTGTGTAAAGTAAAATGTTTAAACATATTGCTTAGAAATAATTATGGATGAATATGAAATGGGAAATTATGTATTTGAATAATTTTGGTAATACTTAGAATGTACTAATTGGATATAATATTTTTTATTTTTGTCTTTAAAAATGAAAGTCGATACTTTCAAAGCTAATAAAAACAATTAAAGTGATAAGACAGTAAACATTACAGGTTTATTAAAATCTTAAGTAAATTTTGATCGTTTTAATAATAATACTGAAATTGATCTTAATGAAAAGAAGAAACTTACTGATTTCTTAGGATAAATGTAACCAGGTAAGAATTATATATAATAATATGGAATGAATTAATTAAATTGGCATTTAAATTAAAATATACGTGAATATTTATTTGCAAGTGAAATTGAAGGAAAGGATATTGATAATCTTAGATTATTCATAGATGAAAGATAAAAATATTAATCGATTGTTTAAATTTCAATTAAAGAAAAACATTTTATTAAATAAATAATAAAAAATGATACATTACTAATAAGACCAAATAGTAGAAGAAATATTAAATAAACTTTGTAATAAAAGAATTTAACAAATCTTTAAATTGCTTAAACAATTAATTAATTACCAAGATTAACTGTTGGAAATCAAGAACTTTAAAAATGGATTTAACCTTCAAAGGTTACTAGCAATATTATTATTGGTCAAAATTCAAGAAAAAGCCCAAGATTATTTCCTGTTAAAACTGAATAAAGTGTTGATATTTCTTCATTTTATGAAGGCTTTTCAAGTGGAAGATTAAAAGGATTGTATCCAAGTCCTAAGATATCAATCTAATCTAGTAGTTTTGAAAGAAAAGCAATTAAATATGCATCTGATATATCATTATTGCCATCATGTATATCTATATTGAAAATTCTTATTCAAAATGTTTTTCAAAATATGACTAATTTGACTTAAACAGATAAAAAATAACAATAGCGAATAAAAATAGAATAAGATTTTATTTTACCATAATTTTTCAATAATGAAATATTAACATAAATATTTAGAGTCTATTTATATGATATTAATAATAATGATAAATCAATATCAGATATTTCATGTGAATGTGGATTAATAATAAATTAAATTTATTTAAATTGTATTTAACATTCTGAACTTCATTCATTTAAAAGATCTTTGAAAGATTGTTTTTATGAAATTGGAGATTATATTTGTAAAGTAATTGTAAAATTGCATGATGATTCATCTTCGAAATTTAAAAGATAATTATTAATTACTACTCTTTAATAAGGTTTAATGTTATTTGGTGAGTAATAAGATACTCCAAAAAATGTATTTAGTTTAATGAATGATACATTATTGCATTTACTTATAGTTTGGTTTTTTGATAGTGATTAATCCAATTTATACTAATAAGCATTTGTAAAGTATATTTAAAAATCTTATTTTAGATTATTTTCAGTAATTTTTTCAAGAGGTCCTTCATATTTGCTTGGTAATATACTATTTAAACTTGGATTAATTAGTTCATTAAAAAATGCCTACTTTAATTTCTTTGTAAATAGTATAAAATTTACAAATGGAGTTGAAAGTTTGTTTTTCTATGTGAGTGTACTTATCTACGCAATATAAAAATCATTAAATTTAAGAAAAATATAGTCTATTTTAAACAATTTAGAACCTTTAAATTCATGGAAATCTTTAAAGGATATAAAAATAGATAATAATTCTCAATTTGTTTAATAAATAGATTTAATAATATTGGAAAATGATGGAAGAACTCCTAGATAAATAATTAAAAAGAAAACAATCACAATTCCAAATAAAAATATCATGCAAAGTAGAAAATCTTAAGTAGTTATGCTTAATAGTCATAAGTAAATTATTTAAATTTATAAGATTTTCGATGTAATAAACGGCAAATGATTTAGTAAATTTAATGAAAACTAAGGATAAATTAATTCTTAATTAGAAAAGAAGTATCCATTTTTGAATCAATTGATTCAATTTAATAATAAATACTGTTCTAAATATATATTAAATTATTTCTAATTAATAAAATTTTTTGTTAAATTTATATAAATTATAATTATAAATTATAAAAATCAGACATAAAAGGTATTATGTTAAAAATATCTAATATTTTAATTATTTTAATTAAAAAATGCTTGATATTTTTGAAAATAAATTAATTCTAAATTCTAATATATGTAGAGTTATAAATATAGATATATATATCAAATTCAATCAATTAATTCTAAACCACAAAGTGATTTAAGATTTGGATGAATGAATTACATTAAGTAATTTACTGTTTATTCTCTAGTACAAAAGTAACCATCAGTACAGAATTTTGTTTGAATCTGTTGTCTATTAAAATAGACCATAACTATTTCATTTTTCACTATTATTTCCAATTATGATGCAAATGGAACTATTGGTTGAAAGTCTGAAATGGCTGATAAAATAGCTACTTAATTTGTATCATGTCCTGAATACCAACTAAGAGGAGTAGTAGAATATAATTAAGAGATAATCCATTTAAATGGTTCAGTTAATTATGCATAATGTTCTAAAGAATCACAATTATCTTCATAATATCTAATAAATTTCACTACTTCTTGCATATAATTAATAGCTAATTATGATGGATTTGGAAATAGAAATCCTTATACATGATTACTTTAATAATCATCAAATATATCTTCAATATCTGATAAAGTTATAGATTTCTTTTTAAAAGATTTACTTGGATAAGCAGCTTTTATTATATCAAAAACTTCATCAAATTCATGTCTATTTTTAAATTCTTCTTCTTTTTATTTAAAATATTCACTGGCCTCAATTTATTTTTTCAAATCTTTAATAGCTGGACAAACTGTTTTTTTATGTCCATGAAATAGGAAATCATTAGGTCTTTCAAAATAATGGAGTTCTAATTCTAATGGATTTTGAAAATCTGAAGCCATAATCTAGTTCCATGCTTCACTATTTGTAGAATATTAAGCATAATATTCATTAAAATATCTTTTAATAATCTCTTAATAATTGTTTGGACATAAACCTTTTAAAAATCCAATAGTAGACATAATAACTCTCTATGTTGTAGAAGCTTAAATTTCTAAATTTTCGTAAATGCAATTTCCATTCATATCTGTAATTGATATTCCATTTTTACTCTATCCTAAGTTAATATGTTATTATAATCCAATTTCAGTTAAATCTTCTGGTTAACTTGTCCAATAATAAGTACTATCAATTTCTGTATATACTTTTGGTGATCTAGCTCCATGTCTAGTTATCAATATTGATTTCTATAAGCAGGAACCAATACTTAATAAGAGGAAAACAATAATTGCCATTGAAATGTTCATAATTTTATATTAATTATCTTAGGATTTGGATTTATCATTATAAATGATGAAATAGAATGAATACATATATGTATTATTACATTGTCATATGACGTTATTTAATAAATAAATTTTATTTTTATAATACGTAGAATATGCACTTAAGATAAATTCAGAATAAACACACTATTTCTTTAAATTTTAGACTTTAAAGCTAAGATAGATTTAATGAAATAGTAATTCAAACAAAATGATTATATAAATCAATATTCAAAAATTTTCCATATTCATACAAAGTTTACAAAAACAAATATTTAAATCAATAAAAAAGAGATCATCAATAATTTAATCTAAATGATATCATTGACTAGTTTATGAATATATTAAGAATTCTTTTCTAAACTAAAAACTCAAGAATAATCTCTATAGAATTTTTTATTTATAAATTAACAGATTAAAAATTAAAATATATTGAAAATATATTTTAATCAAATTAATATTCTTTAATATTTTGTATATTCTTTATATACCATAATATAACTATAATAAATATGTGAGAAAGAGTAGTGATATTATAAAGTTTGAAAAAATATGAAGAAACAATAATTCTAAAATATAAATATTATTCATCATTAAGGAATTTAAAAGTAATTGATTTGTTGATATAATTATAAAATTTCATTTCAATTCAAATTTTTTGGTTAATTAATTGGTAATGATTTTATAACTGGAGAATGATAGGATAGACTTCCATCTATAGAATGTAAAGTACCATCATGTTTTGGGAAAAAACTTAATTATTAAAGAATGGATCCATGTCCGTTTTTCCCTTTAAAATTTTAAGGCTCAATTTTTTTCTTCGACTAAATTGTTTATGTATCCAAACCTGCTCTACATAATGGACAAGCCTAAAAGTTTATTTATGTTATACTTTATTATTCTTCATCCATTTTTCCAAACAAGTTGAATGAAAAATATGTTCACAATATGTCATTCTAACAAGACTACTAGATTTAAATGATTCTAAACATATTGAGCATGTAGTTTCAACTTTAATTTCTGGTACCCTATCTGATACTAACATAAACTATTAAGCAGGCATTAAGTTTTCAAATTATTGCTTATTTTTAATAGCTTATTTTGCCTTATATATTTTAAGCAAGTATATTAGTGTCATAATAAGCAAAATAACGCCAAGTATTGATGCTAAAACAGAGACTACTAAAATGATTGAATAATATTGTTCTTCCAATTCTGCTAATTTTACTACACTAGTAGTATTTGTTATTATTACAAATTAGGAATAATATCTAAGTTGTGTAAAAATTCTTAGTCTTTCAGTAGCTTCTTTACATTAGATTATTGATTCTTCAGTGATATATATGATACTGTTTTGATTAGAAGTAAATAACAAATGAGATGAATTGGCATAGCAAATTATTGTATATTGTAATTCTGAATTGAGAATCAACTTATAATCATTAGTCTACAATGTTATGAGATCTAAATAAAATATTTGTAATCCATGAAAATAACTGTTTTGATGTATATTTGATGATACTATATTACAATCAAATCCTAGATAACCTAAGGTACATTAACAGAAGCCTTTAATGCAAATTCCCTAATTTTTACAGTTGCTTAAATAGTTAATATAATTACACAACACAATCATCAATTCCAATTCTTTCAATTGTTAAAATCAGAATTGAATTAAGTTTTGAATATATTATAGCAAAACATGAATTGTTTTCTATTGAAAATATATTATGGTATTAAGAAACTAAAGTTGGCATTTTCTATTGAGAAAGAACAATCTACTGTGTTTAGTTTTCTAATATGTAGGCATTGTAGTCTACAAGGCAATTGTAATCATGATAATTATCTTGCTGAAAAAGAGTTTAAAATTTTTCAAAATCAATTAAGTTCGTCTAACAAATTGCTAACAAAGAATGGTTGTTTGATTATTAAGTTAACATAACTCTTAATTTATTTTCTTAAGAGAGGCTTGAACAATATTAATTTAATGGAATACTCTAAATTCCAATTGTTGAATTGAAGGAATTTTAATACAGAATATCAGCAACACTTGTCTGTATCAAAGTTAAAATAATTGAAATCATAAAAATAATTAATTAAATTGAAAGCTTATTATTCATATTTAAAATGATCATGATATTTGCTGATGAATATTTGGAAAACTAGAAGTTTTATTGTATCCATGCAATCTAATATTTTTATGTGATTATTCAAAGATTATTTATTTTGAACAAGTGCTTATTGTATGATTTCCATCTTCTAAATTATTATCGATAAATTTATTTAATGTTTAGACATTCAAAGAAGATCTACATGTTGGGCATTTCTTAAATGATATAATAATTTTACATCATTTTTATTAATCCATAAATCTATACATTCTACATGATAAAAATGAGTGCAATATGTTATTCTGACTTAATCTTCCTTTTTGTATGTTTCTAAGCAAATTTAACAAATCTTGTCATCTGCAAGTCCAGGAAACTTTTTGATGACTTCATCATATATTTATATCGGCAAATATTTGTTAATTTTATTTATTTGTGTCATTTATTCAGATGTTGGAATTTAAGTTGTAATTAGATTGTTCATTCTTCTATTGGATTTTTTTAAATGAAACCAACAATAAACAATTACAACTAATAATAATATTCCAATTGATGTGACTATATAAAGGATTGTATTATTATTTGATTCATCTGATTGAGATTCCAAATAAATTGTATCTTATTAAGCTATGAATACATAGAAAGGTTATAAATATATTGAAAATTCTTTATTTACTTTTTAAGTTTCCTCAAAACAATCCATCTGTTTTTAATAGGAAAGTTCTAGAAAGCTATTAAAAATAAACTCTCCTCGATAAACATAAGGATTAAAAGCTAAACAACCAAATATAAAATTTGACTTCTCTGTAAAATTCATTGATACTTCCTATTATCTATTATTAATACATTACTTCTAACTTCGTGGCGTTTATATAATATATAACATCTTATTCTAAATTATCATTTTCCTTCAATTATATTATCTTGATGCTGCAATCATCTCCAAAGAATCCTCTTTAACAAAGACATTGGCCTCTAAAGCAAATGCTTCCATACTAGCATTCCCTAATTGAATTATTAACATTTTATATTTACACATAACAGGATTATTTTTGTTTGAAGTCAAAAGTTATGACAAAGTCACTTTTTTATTCTGAGTAAACCATGATAAAGGGAATATTACCTATCTCTTAAAAAACAATATTCATAAAGCTATTATTTTTATTGTTGTATTCTACTAATATTTATTGGTTAACTCTCTTAAAATCATATGAATTCAAGTCAGCAATACAATTTTATCTAGTTTAAATATTCGATATTACTTTTAAATTGTATAAAGATCAGGTTAACTATGAAAACTATGGTTTGCTCTACAAAACAACAATAATGGGATTCTCTATTTAGGATAATTTGATATTGATATAACAAGTCTTTCATTGTCTGGAATCTATTTTTCTAATAAGGATGTAGTTTCGATATTTATCTACCCTAAAACTTATTGATATCCTTTGTTAAAAATAAAATCAGCGTAACAAGCAGTAAATAATAAATATACAAACATTAATTAAAATCATAAATTTCATTTTTTTAATTATAAACAAAGCTACTAAGTAATTATATCCCCTTTTAAAAATGGTGATGGAGTATTTTCCTTCTATGATAGTGGATTGGCAGAATTAGGAGAGGATGTTTCTTTAATATTGAAGATTAATGAATACATTGTAAATGTTTCAATCTTTATTCTCGTTTTTATAATTCGGCAAGTTTATGCTCATCTATTTACATTGCGTCACCTTATATTACTCCCAACTAATGAATCTTTTCTTCTATTCTTAATTATATGCCTTTCTTTTTGTTTAAATCTTCTCTACAAAATGGACAGGTCTATTAATATCTATGATATTTATACTTAATTTCTTTTTCTCCATTCATCTAAACATGTAGAATGAAATAAATGTAAACAATATGTTAATTTGACTAAATCCTATTTTTAGAATTCCACAAGACAAATTTAACAATCAGAAATTTCAATTAATCCTGGATATTCTTGAAGAATTTATTCATATAATTCTACTGGAATATGATCTTATCTTAATTTTTTCTTTATATTTCCTTAAAGTGAAAGTTGTCTCTAATTTATTATGTTTTAAACACCATTGTTAATTCTTCTAGCTTTTCTTTGAAAGTAAACAACACATATTATTATTAATAATGCAACAATCAAAGCTCCTAATGCACCAGCTAAAATGTAATATAATTCTAGCCCAGAATTATCATCTTTATTACTATCTATTTAGAGTTTTAATTCTACTTATGTTTATTAATTTCGATCATTAACTAACAATAATATTACATAATTTTCCATTTAAATTCCTAAACTAGATTCAATTTCATTTAAATTCTCTTAACAATATTAAATATCATCTTTTGTTAATTTTATGATTCCTGTTGAAATTTCTGTTTCATAAAATGAATTACTTTGATAAAATGGAATAAAATCTTTATCATATTGACATCCTAAATAAGCAATTATTCCTGTATTTGAGTTTATTTCAATTAATAATGAAGTTGATGATGTTTTTAAAGGAATGATCAGAATCATTTAATATAAATATTGTTTCATTTCAAACTATAATTATAATTTATTCTACCTAAACTAAACTTGGTGCATTAATAACAGTGCTTTATAATTAACAAGTACCATCTAAATATCCTTCATTACATTTACAAAATAATATTTCATTACTCATACACAATCCATTATTATTACATTAACTAATTTAATTTTAAATATAACTTATAGCATTCTCCCTTCTAAGAACTCTTTATTATCATTGTATATTAAACATCATCAGATGAATATATATAAATAGAAATTTTTTTTTCATTTAACTTAAAAATGCCAAATTTATTATAAACCTATTCATTTTCATCATTTAATAGATCTGATAATACAATCTGTTATATGCGTTATGAATATAAAAGAGCATTATTATCGAAGACACATAATTTTCTAAATATGATCAATTCTTATTCTTACTTATTTGATTCAATTTAGTTCCTGATTGCTTCAGGAGAGCTGATAATTTATTTTACAATTTATTAGTTTTTAGTGTAACAATAAGCTAAAAATGGAGGAACAGTTGATAGTGAATTATTTTCAAGGATAATATTTATTGTTGTTGATTCTTTATTTAAATCATCATTTTTCTCCAGATCAATATCAAGAACATTAAAACCTCTAGTTCTATAGACTTTCTTTGTATAAAGAGTATTTGTTAAAGATATCAATAAAAGTAGTATAAATATCATTAATGAATTTAATAAAGATTTTATAAATATCGCATATTTTATTATTCATGGCATTATACCATTGGTCATTCTTTAGAAATTATCATACTATATTGTTCTCCAATTATTGTCACTGTAATCAATTAATTTATCAACATATTTTTACAATTCTTCATCATTTGCCTCCTCTTTGAAACGATCTCTAAATTCTTTTATGTCGAATCTCTCAAAACAAGGTAAATCACTATCCTACATCATAATTTCAATTATCATTATTATCTCATCAACATATCCTTATAATGCTTTGAATCCTCTATACATTAAATTCTTATAATATAAAAAAAGATCTGAATTTCTTCCATTCATTAAATCAATATATTCTTGAGTCAATTTGAAAGGAGCTTTCTCAAAATTTAGATTTCCAGGAGAAATACAAAGAATAAATCCAAAATCAATATGGATTATTCTACCTTTGCTATCAATTAAAATATTGCCATTGTGTCTATCCTTTATTTATAATAAATAACTGATAATTGAATAAGAAGCAAGACTCTAAATAAATCTCATTTAAGCTTCTTCAAAATCTTATTGAAATATTTCTTTATAAATATGAACAAGAGATTTGCAAGCTGGATATTTCTTTTTTAAACCATCAATTGAAAAAGTATCTGCACAAAATTCCAGAATTCCTGAACTTGCACTTACAACTATAATTTCATAAGCCTTAACATACATATCCAAACCATGACTCTAAAATGCCTAATACATCTTATATATAATCTGCATAGTCATAAGTTCTTATCTTAGATCATCTCCTCCTTTAACAATAATAGGTTTAAGACGATATGTTTCAAAATGTTAATATGGACTATCTCTCTTTATCATTTCAGCCCTATCTTCCCATAATTCATCCCATGGTCCAAATTTACTATGTAATTCTATTCCATCTTGATGAATATCTACTTTATTTTTTTCTAATTTTTTCTCAATCAAATCATATTAAAGATGTACATATATCTTTTTTAATATTTATTCCTGTTTTGGACAAACTTTAATTATGTAATCATTATTTACATTATATCAACTCTTTAAAGAATCTAACTCTACCAAGTGCAGTTAATTATTTAATTGATTTATGTTTATTTCTAAATCCATTTTTTTTATTTTCCTTGTATAGCTTTAACCAGTAATTTTTATCTTTCCTTTATCCCTACTATCTATATTTACTATTTAATTTAGGAATACATGACTAAGTTCTCTCATTTGTTTTTTCTGGAAATAAAATATTAAATCTTTTTTTATAATATTAAATGCTTACCTTTGTCTATTTTTTTAAAATTACTCTTCTTCTATTGCATTTGTAAATTATTTATATAATTAAAGATTTTTCATAATTTGTTCCTATAGAATTAATTCTTAATCTTATTCATTTTCTGTAATTTTCTCTTTTTTAGTTAGATAAACAGCACTCATAATATTTTTAAATATTTTCATTCCTTTTTTAGTTTCCTTTTTTTAAGTAATTTTCATAAGATCAGTGTATTCTTTTTTATTTCTATTTTTTGCTAATTCTTCCATTTTTTTTTCTATTTCCTATTTATTTGGTTGATTTAAATCAGCTTACAAGAAATCCTCCATTGAATCATCATCTAAATTTGCATATGATCTATTATTAGTAATTGAATTATTTTAAATCTTCTTTGGCTATTTATATTTTAATTCATGAGGACTATAAATAATATTTTCATATACTCAATAGTTTCCACAACAATTCTATAAGGAACTCTTTTTTTGGTATTGAAACATGAACATTCACCTTCTATAATTCTGACTACTAAATTTGAATGTACAGCAACATCCTAATCTTTGCTCATAGTAAAAGGTACTGTAATTCCTTAACAAAAATAATATTCTTAATGTTTTTATCTATATTTCTCTAATGCTACATTTGCTCTTGTTATAAAATTTTTTAATTTTGGTTTCCTCTCTTCTGGCTTATATGTTTTAAGTATTAATGACATTTAAATTAGATTGTTTAGATAGAGATCTACTACATTTTAATATGATTTTAATTATAAATTAGGAATCTTTACTGCACTATGATCATTGTGTAAGGTTAACATGGATTATTCAAATTACTAGTATGGTAATTGTAATTTTTACATCGTCTATTCTTTATAATCTCTTCATTTTATTCTTATCTGTTCTATCCTTGTCAGAATATGAAACCCAACACCATTTAATTAATTAATACAATGCAATACTTTTGCTACATAATGTTGTTATAAACTTTTCTAAATATGGAGAATCATTCTTTATTAATATATACCTAATTTATATACAAATTTATTATTTACACTAATTAAGGAATGAAGAATTCTAATTCTTCTTATTAAATCTAGTATAATTTATTTGTTAAGAATTAATGAGGACCACTCTCTTTTAGCTTATAATAGTAATAATATATAAGTTTATTCACTTCTATGTCTTGAGTATTAAACATCTAATAAATAGAACTAATTATGTAATCTTCTCTAGGTTGATTGACAGGTAGAAGGATTATTTGATATTTCTTCCTTTCTTCACAATCATTTTATTTCCAGGCAGGTAAATAATTAAAACTTTAAGTATTCGAACTTTATCGAAAACGAGAAGGGTTATTCATAAAATTAATATTTAATATGTATTATTATAAATTCATGCACCAATAGATAATTTTGATCTAGCCACTTATTTTCTTGATTAACGAGCCACCTATTGATTATTTGTTTCCTTTTTAACATTTTCATCTTTTTCTGCAGCCCACAATTCAATATGAGCATTGGATGATAAAAATGCTGCAATATTTTAATTTTTTACGATTAATTCTTCCATGTGCTCTATAAGTTCTACGTCTACCCTTTTATGCTCTATTTACTTAAACATGATTAATGATCAATTTTTCATTACTTAAATTTTTAACTTAAGCATTTGCAGCCAAATTTTACAATAATGATAAAACAATTCTTACACTTTTTTCTGGCCATCTACCTAAATAATGATTAATATGCTCAATTTACCTTATGATCTACCGAATTCTTTTGCTTATGCTGTTCTACCTACTCCACCATTAAAACGAGTGAATGGAACACATCTTTTATGTTATAATACATCTTATAAATATTTTAATGCTTATGCAAGTGTTTATCCTTTAATTGCTCTTGCCACTTCATAAGTATTTTTAAAATGTGTTCTTAAATCACTAGCCTTAGCTTTACATGATTTTTTAGCAACAGCTGGCTCTCTTGCATATTACTTACCCATAAATATTGAAATCTTTTATTTATTTTATTTAAAAATTGTGAATATATATATAATAAATTCACTTTCCAAAACCATTCCCCAAATCAAATTTATTAGCATATTTTTAAAACAAATTCTTATCATAATCCTATATTTTCTTTTTCATGTCCTATTTCATATTCATATATTTGCTATCTCCCATATATGTTCTTCTCATAACATCTTAATTTTAGAATTCTTTAAAGAATTCATTGCTCGTTACCAAAAACTATCATACAAAACTTCACTACTTTTTTTTTTTTATCGACTTATGCATTGTTATTCTCTTAAACTTTATTTCTAAAATATTCTTCCAATGTCATCCCATTATAACTATTTGGATTAAAATTTTAAGCAGTTCTGCTTTAAATGGCAGTACGATTTCTTTAAGAATTCTAACTTATCATTCTCCTTTTATCCAATCGAGAACATTTTGATGTCTCAGGTCTTTATTCTATACGCTCTTCACTCATTAATTATTGAAAATATTAATATTATTACTCATCTGTTAATAAATATATTTCATATCCTTATAGTATCACTATAATTCATTTATTGGAGAATCTCATTCCTTAGAGTTAGCATATACTTCTAAATACTTATATGAGTATCTCATTTAGCATTCCTTGGTTCCAAATGAATTAAGAACCAAATTATTATTATCATACAATCAGTAATACCTTGATAATTTCAATTAATTATACTATTACTATTGAATAATAGAGTTTCCAGCAAAACTTTAAGATTGGCTTGATAGATCTCAAATAAATATTCCTTATAATTTATCAGCTAAAATCTCTTTAAGTTCAGTTTGAAACTACAATACAAATTCTTGCATACTAAAATAATTTAAACAATCACCAATATTTTCTAATCCTTTAATTTTAATAAATCTAACAAACCCTAACTTCATACCTATTCCTTTTAATAACTAAATATAATATATCCTCAATATAAATCATATAATCTTTATAAATATTTGCCTTTCTTAGTTGATATTCAAAGTGTTTAATAGAAAATTATAAATAAGATATCTTTTTCGATAAATTTTCCAAAATTACAAGTTAAAGCATATTATACTCCTATCTTTTTATTCTGATCTATATTTATAGAGTATTCGATTTAAATAATTTAAAATAGAATTCACATGCCATTAAACAAGAATCCTACTACTATCATTATCAATATATTAGATTATATCAATTCAATATTCTCAATATTAATTACAGGAATTAAATTATATAAATTTTTATTACATTAAAAGTATGTTGTTGAAATTAAATCATTAACTTTCTTATTAAAATTTTAGGCATCTTTCAGGATATAATAATTCTTAATTTAAAAATAATTAAATATATTCTAATTTTAATGTTTACATTGTAATTTTATAATGTTTTCAAATATCAAATTTAACTCCTTAAGCAAGGGGTAAGGTCTTACCAAAATTAATAGTGCATGTAGATCTTCTCATATAAGTTTTCCATGAATCACTTCCTGATTCTCTACCACCTCCTGTTTCTTTTTCACCTCCGAAAGCTCCTCCAATTTCAGCTCCAGATGTTCCAATATTAACATTTACAATACCACAATCTGATCCTAAAGGTCCTGTCCATTTGTATGAATTGCTTAAATTAGAAGTGAATAATGAACTGCTCAAACCTTAAGGAACATTATTATTAATTTCAATAGCTTAATCTAAAGTATCATATCTAACAATAAATAAGATAGGCATAAAGAGTTCATGTTGTAAAATAGGATGATCAGCTCTAACTTCAAAGATTGTTGGTTAAACAAAGTTTCCTGGACCTTCAATTACGTTTCCTCCATAAAGTAATTTTCCTCCTTATGCTTGAATTTCAGGTATAACTTTTTTGTATTATTCAACTTAACCTCTTGTATGAAGTGGACCACATAATGTATCTAAAAATAAAAGAATTAATTACCATCATTTAAAGCATTTCCAATTTTAATGGTAGCATAAACTTTAACCATTTTTTGAATAAATGTTTCTGCAATACTATTATGTAACAACAATCTTCTTAAAGATGTACATCTTTATCCACATGTACCAACAGCTGCAAATACTGCAGCCTTAAGTGCTAAATCAACATTTGCATCTTCATGAACAATCTAGGCATTATTTCCTCCTAATTCCAATAGACTTCTGGCTAATCTGGAAGCCACCTTTGCAGCAATGATTTTACCAACTTAAGTGGAACCTGTAAAGGATACTAATGGAATTCTCTTATCACTTGTAATTGCTTCTCCAATTTATACACCATCTCCACAAATAGTGAATAATATACTTGTTGGTAACTAATAGATTATATTTAGTAGTTTACTCCATTTCTTTTAAAGACTTCATGAATGATATTGGTACAAGCTATGGATGATAAATTTGTTGAAGGTGCTCCTTTCCAAACGCAAACATCACCACAAATAAATGCAAGTGCTAAATTCCATCCTAATACTGCAACTGGAAAGTTAAATGCTGTAATAATGCCTACTACACCCAAGGGATTCCATTATTCCATCATGAAATGCGATGGTCTTTCTGATGGGATTACTAATCCATATAAGGATCTTGATAATCCACAAGCCATATCACAAATGTCTATGATTTCCTAAACTTCACCCAAACCCTCAGATTTTATTTTACCCATCTCCAAAGAAACTAACATTCCTAAGGCTTCCTTCTATTTTCTAAACTCATCTCCAATTTATCTTACTATATCACCTCTTCTAGGAATAGGTAACTAATTTAAAGAAATAAAATACTTCTGCCCACATATTCTTAACTTTCAATAGCTCTTACATTCCTTATTCATATTATTAGAGTGTTCCTAATTTAACTTTTGCTATAGCTTCTCCTGTGTTTGGATTGTAACTAGTAGTCCACTCTCCATCTCCTACCCATGTTCCACTTAGAGATGATCCATAATTTTCAGCTTTTAAACCAAGTTAGGCCAAGAATGGATATTTGTCAAATGTTAACATTTACACTTTTATTTATGACGCATGATTTTTAATATTTATGTATTTCAATAATAGTCATGATGGAAATTCTGAATTAAACAATTCAAATCTTTCAAATTCTGATTTTTTGGGTGAGTCTTCAGGTAATACAGAAACTAAATTCTAAATTTGATGATTGGAATTATATAATCTATCGCTCTCAAAGAATTTCAGATCCTCTTCTATCTTAAATATATTTTTTATATTTTAAATGCCTATCTAATTTATTAACACCAATTAAACACGAGATATTTCTTAAATAAGATTATTGAAAGTGAATTTCGTACTTGCAATTTCTAATAATTAATTGTATTTATTCAAAAAATTAGCCAATTTAATTTCAACACCTTTATAATGCACTTATTTAATCTAACCTAAAAAATTCTTAGTAATTTAGACTTGCTTAAATTATGGATAATAAATTTCAATTATTTGATGCAATATGGTACTCTCCAACATAGCTGTATTAATCATATTAGAGAGTATTTTCAATAACATTATAATATTAACAATGGATCCAATTTGAGCCAATACTTCTCCTAATTTTGGCATAAGTATAGTCTCATTTGTTTGTATATTGTCAATTCTGAATAAAAATCCAGCAAATGATTCAAATTAAAATTCTGAACCATCTCCTGTCTTGACTGTATCTTAAGCAAATTAAGCTGAAACTGCTTAAGTATTAACTTCATAATCCTTAATTACCTCAAAAGATTCAAAGTTACTAAATAATATACCATCATCAATAGTTGTTTATTATTTTTAAAGAACCACTTAAGAATAAAATGGACTTTTTTCTTCAAAAGCAAAGAATTAAGTTTTTTTTATTTCATCAAATTTCAAAGTCTCATAATTATATTATTGAAGATTAATCGACAAAAATAATAATCCATGATTTGTACTGAAATAATCATCTATAGTTTATTGATCAGCACAATATCCCCCTTCTTCCATCCAATCCTAGCGACATTTTGTAAAAAATACTAAATACTATTTTATGTCTTCTTGATCATCTTCTTTTGATCCATCTACTTAACTTAAAACTAATTTTCCTTTATCAATTGTTATAACATTTTTGTCTCCATCTACTTATAATGTACTATATAAAAATCTAGGATAAGCAGATATGAGTAATCCAGAGATTTCTAATAATACTGGCATAATAATGTTATTTTCTTTGGTGAATGGATTTATTTTTGATCTTATATCATATAGAGTAAAGGAAATCTCACTATTTTCCCATTCATAAGATGTATAATTAATCATTCGTTAAGAACTTGTAACTTTAGGAATTAATTTTCCATTGATCCATAATGATATCACATAAATGAAATAAGCCAAGCTTAAAATCATTATGATAATTGCTATTACTCCACTTTGAGATGATTTAAATTGTTCTTATTTTTTAATAGTTTTCAGTTTAATTGGAACACCAAAAATGTCAAACTTTTCTAAAATGGATAACATAAATAAGAACAGTTTCAATAATTTAATATTATATGAGTTAAAATATCTTTTTAATATTTTAAATACTCATATTCTTATTATGCTCTCTACTCCAGTTTGTAATTATGATATCAATTATATTAATTTTGGTTATGTTTGCTCTATTGTCGATTAAGCAATCATCATTTTCGATTATGGACTAGGTTTAGGAATGTCAATATACAATTAATTATTCTAATTGATTAAAATTACCAATTACTTTTGGTTCTAAACGAATTTAATCATAAAAGGCTCTCTTCTTCTTGATATCATGTTCTTCTGGAGGATTAACTAAGCTACCTAAATCAACAAATTTGGATTTTATTTATTAAGTTGCAGCTGCTAATTTTTCCTTTAATTCTTTCTTTATCCTCTCATTTTCAATTTATTTTTGCTGTTAAATTTTTTCTTTTGTAGGTACATTTCCTTATATGTCATTTTGTTTGATAGAGTCTTACTTAAATGATTAAGGTTGATCTTTTATATGTTTTTATTCTCCTTTTATTAAAAATTTCTTCAGAGTTGGACACTAGTCCACATCTATTATTTAAAGTAAAGTCTTAAAATAATTCTATAATCCAGCTTTTCTGGTTGAAATAAATTCAGGATCGGTATTTCCAAAAAATTTTTTGCCTGGGAATTAAGGAAGTTATTGTTTTAATTCTGAACATAATTAAGTATGCAAATTATTCAGATTTTTATATCTTTCTTCAAAGCTCCATGATATTTTTGTTTATGTATTTAAAACCTTATCATATTCTGTTTTATCTTACTTAAATCTGATAATAAACAATATCTGACCTAGTTTCTGTATTCACAATTTTCAATTAATATGTTGAATTTTGTGTTTATTACATGTAAAATATAAAATGTTAAAAATAAAATAAATGAGATCAAACTATTTAACTTTAAGATAATGAAATGACAATCTAAAATTTAAATAAATATTTGATTTTCATATTCTTTCAATTTTTATGTTTTAGTAGATTTTTTGAATATCAATGACCAACTCTATACTAGTTAAATCTTTTTACTAGATCTCTTATATTAACATATTAAAATGAAATTACTTAAATTCTAAATTTTATATTTTAAAAACTAAAATGGATGTGATTAAAAAAGACTCTTTTTTTGATGACCCTGATGCAACTGGATTTTGGAATGTCACAGATTTTCCATCAAAGGATGCGGCTTTGAATATGCATGATACTATGTATTTAGAACAAGATTCAGAATTATATAAAGGAACTTTAGGAATCTCGAATAATTATCTGCTCTATTTCAAAAAACAAGTAAATTCATTCAATAACCAATAGATTGTGAAGTAATGGATCAATTTAGATAATGCTACAATTGAATATACAAAGCATTAGAAGGCAGGACTTGGAATAAAAATTACAAAAAACAAATAAGCTTTTGAGTTCTTTGGAGATGTAGAACCATGGTACAATTATCTCAAGTAATTTTGTATTCAAAGAAATTTTTCTCATCATTATACATTACTGAAGAAGATAGGATCAGGGAATTTTGCTGATGTAAAATAATTTCATAATATCTAGGTTTTCAAAGCTGTTAACAAGAATGATGGATCTGAATATGCAATAAAATGTTTCAGGAAAGCAAAGTTGAATGAAAGTGTTGACAGATTAGCAATAATCAAGGAAATATCAATTATGAAAAAAATTCAGCATGAATCTGTAATCCGATTATATGAAGTTTTTGAAGGAGATGAATTTTTGTTTTTAGTTTTAGAATATTTGAAAGGAGGTGAGTTACATTAATATATGAAGAAATCACCTCCATTTTCTGAAGAAAAATGTTCTAAATTAATTTTTAGATTATTGAAAGCAGTTTCATCTATACATTAAAAAGGAATTTTACATAGAGATATCAAACCAGAAAATATTATGCTAAGAAATAAAGATGATATTGAGAATATTTGTATAGGGGATTTTGGATTGGCTGATTATTATTCTCCAAGTGGATAATATCTATTTACTAGATGTGGTACACCAGGTTATGTTGCCCCAGAATTATTATAAGATAAAGTTTATGATTTCAAAGTAGATGTTTATAGTGTAGGAATTCTAATGTTTATTTTAATTGCAGGAAAATCACCATTTGATGGAAAGGATTATGATGATGTAGTAATGAGAAATTATTATGCAAAAGTCAAATTTGAAGATTGTAAATTAAGTGAAATAGGGATGGACTTACTTTAAGGACTTATGAATAAAAATCCTATCAAGAGATTAACTGCTGAAGAAGCTTTAAATCATCCATGGTTTGCTAGTGAAAACTTAACAAAAACATGTCAATTCAAAATCAGAAAATAAAATCAAACTACATTAAAGAAATTAGCTTATTTTGACACGAACATTAAATAATAATCTGCAATTTCAACATAATTTAGTCCAAAGAGTTCATTATCAAGTCTAAGTCCTTATTGTGTTACAAAATGCAATATTGAAGATAGTCCATAGACACCTAATACTCCTGCAACACTTAGACCTGTTAATACTCCTAGAACATCAGCTGGTTATAAATTAAGATAGGTTCGAAGATCTTAAATTCCTCTAAAATAATTATGAATAAAATTATGTATATAACAATTTAATGTTCTATGTATTAAGTGATTTATGAGGCAAATTGATTATTAATAATAATAAATACTTCAAATTAATTTACAAGATATGTGTGAAGATTTGAATCCAAGGTACTTTTTAGAATGTTATATAGCTGTAATTATAAACATTGTCGTTCTTTTTTTTAGATTTCCTTTTAAGAAATGAAGTGGAATAAATCTCATCTATCATTCCTTCCTACTCTCTTTAATATTGAAGATGATGTAGTTTATTTAGGCAAAAAATAATAAATTAAGAGAAGAGCTTATAAACTTTTAGATCAGTATTTATTTTATAAAAATAAAAATGTATAATAGTGAATTAAATATTAGGAAAAAATTGTTTGGATTAATTATGAAAATGCAATTATAGAATTAATAACTAATCCTGAGTTGGGTATGGGAATTCGCTTGACAAAATGTTTTGATAAAATTGAATTCTTTGGAAACGCAAATAATTGGTATAAATTTATGAAGAGATTTGCTGTCTAATATAATTTCTCAAATTATTATATAATAAATACAAAACTCAACAAAATTAAATTTGGAGAAATATTTAAAGGAAAAAATAAATTAGATGGTTAGGAATATATTATTAAAATTTATTAAAAATCATTAATTATAGATGATGAAGATAGACAATAATTTTTAAAAGAAATATCAGTGATTCGTTAATTAAAAACAGATTTAACATTGAAGTTTTATGATCTATTCGAAAATCAAGATCAAATTTATGTAATTATTGAAAATTTACCTTCTCACACTTTGTTAGATTATGTTTTAAAGAATCCTTTTTTTTCGGAAGATAAAGCAGCAAAAGTTATATTTAGAATTATAAAAATTATTGCATATCTCCATTCTAAAAAAATAATGCATAGGGACATTAAACTCGAAAATTTTATTTTTAGATAATTAGATAATTTGGATAGTCTATGTTTAATAGATTTTAAATTAGCTGAATTTTATGATGATGAAGGACATTATTAATTTAAACGATGTGGAACTGTAGGATATGTTGCTCCTGAAGTCTTAGCTGATAAAAATTATGATCTCAAAGTAGATATTTATAGTGTTGGAATTTTACTCTTTATTCTATTTACAGGAAAGGAGCCATTTGATGGAAATTATCAGGAGAAACTCATTCAAAATTTAATAGGATTTATTGACTTTCACAATCTTAGGGTAAGTAACTTGGCTTCAGATTTTCTAAAGGGTCTACTTAGATTAGATCCTTAAGAAAGACTTTCATCTCATTAAGCTTTGAATCATAAATGGTTTTAAAGAGAAAAATTAATTGGAGCATTAAAATAATAAATTAAGTCTACTTTATAAAATTTGAATAAATCTTATAAAGTCAAAGCATCTTTTAAAAAATCATTTCCTATTTTACCAACTAATTCTATTCCTCATTTATAAGATCCTATAAGTTTTAGAATGAAAACATTGCCTAATCCATAATCATATGAAAGAGTTCATCTTCCAGTAATTTAAAGAAGAACAACTCACTAAATTCCTTCAAATTCTATATTATATGGAAGAATAAAATGAGATATTTTTAAATAAATTCTCTTTCAAATATGATTATTATTATATTTTTTTTTTTAATTATTCAAACATAATTAGTTAATTCAAAGTAATTTAACTCAGTCTGCATATTTATATAATTGAATCTTTTAATTAAAATGGGGATAATTTGTGGATAAAGTCTGAAACATAAATCTTTAGAATTTCATATTTAAAGACCTATGTCTTAATCAGTAAAACATGAATAAGAAAATATTGAAATAGAAGATTAAGATCAGTTATTTTGCCCATCCTTGACTAAGAATTATATTTTAAACCCAAGATTCCTCATAACAGAAGAATCAAAATGTGAAAAGGAAGAGTAAAATCTAATCTCCCTTGTTCAATAAAGCTCATCTTAATTGTCTTTAGGAATTTAGAGTGAATTAAACAATATAAACGAAATTCAAAACAAACAAATAAACTAAAATAAATTAAAGCCAGACTTAACAAATTCTAAAAGAATGAGTTTAGAATAGAGATATAAAATTGCTATTTCACCTTCTTTAAATAGAAAACGAAATAATAATAATGGATAAAGTCCTTTGGCCAAAATGTTCTAAGGTTAAAATTCAACTGCAAAATAAAAAGAGCAATTAATTTTAACGAAAGGTAAGAGGAAATAATCAAATTAAGAGGAATGAGAAGAATTAATGTCATGGATAAATTGAAATAGTTATTATTTATATAATCAAATAACTGAAGTTTCTTTTTATTTCTTATTTATTTTTGTAAGACCTAAAAATCAAAAAGAAATATTAAGGAAATTGTCTTTTATTTCTTACAAAGTTATTTGATTTCAATTATTTAAAAAATTATAAGTCTTATGAAAGTTGATCTATGTTTTTGTTATTTAATTTCTTTTAAAGCCATGTTAAATTTGTTATTTCTTATCAAAACAATAATTAAAAACTAGTTCGATTTATATTAAACTTTATATTAAAATGAAAATATAAAGCTATACAATCTCTAGTATATTTGAATAAACATAATATATCAATATAGATTAAAAATAATTAGTTCAAGAAATCTATTGTTCTTGGATGAATGATTTCACTACATTTAATTTAGTCTAAATAATGATTTATACTTTTTTAATGATCTCTATTTCTCTACTTCTTTAAATGGTATTTTGTTAATATTAGACTAATAATTCTTAACATTATCCTCTTCTTTACTTCATACCTGTCTTTGAGGCTACAAATTCAGCTTAAGCATCACTTCCTCTTTTTTATTATTAATCTCTAGTTCTTATAGTATCCTGTAAAGATTCATCATCTGCTGCTTTTTCTCTAGTCAACGCTTACATAGCATTAAATATTTCATTTAGAGTAACATCATTATCCTAATATATAAATAAAAATAATTTACTCTAATGGCTTGCTCCTCTAAAGCAGTTTCTTCATCTACTGATGTTATTAAAGAATCTCTGACAACTTCCATTTTTTCAATAATTGTTTGTATTGACCTAGGTTCCATCATAGAAGTAACCTAAACTAAAGCTAAAATTGGATTAGAAGGTCCATTATTTGCTAATTATACAAAAGAATTAGCAAATGCTTCTTCTTAAACAAAAGACTTTATAAATAATCTTAATTATACTTCTGCATCTCTTTATTAAACATTATCATATAATTCATGCATTTTAGGTAGCATAACTTAAAATGCATTTATCATTTCTTTAAGTTAACCTAATCTTTTGTTATAATTTGCTGATTATTTTAATCTTAAATCTCTCAAAGAATTTTCTGCTCCTTAAAAAGTCTAATAAGAAATATTTAAATAATTACATCTATTTAAGATTATTTAAGTTCTAGTTCACTTGTATAATCTTCTATATCTGATTCTAATCTTCCAACTTTAAATTCAACATCATTTATTTCATTTACTGCTAATTAAATTCTTTAACTATAACTGTCCATGTCTGATTTACATTATGATTAAATTGCTGCATTAGATCCATCTTATTAAATTTATTTTCCCTTTTGATAGATGCATAATCTACTTCAAGATCACTCTTTAAATTTGTCAATAAAGAAACTATACTATCGATGCCTTCTCCACTTTTTATTTGCAGAGCAACTGTTTATAAAACTTTGGCTCCCAATGGATTTTCTACAATTTCCTCTAGATCATCAAAACTTGGATCATTATGCAAAATTTCTTAATTTGCTTAAAATTGTTCTTCATCCTTCCTTCTTACTGCTCTTATTCCAATGAGTATGACAAATAGAAGAAAAGTTTTCATTACTTATGAAAACGGATTAAAATAAAATAAATAAATAAATTAACAGGAATTATTGTATTAGATAGGAACTATGAAAATTAAGCGTTTAGAATTCTATCAATTGAAAATTTTTGAATAGATGAAAATATATCTAGATAAATATTCAGACTTAAATATATTTTACTTAATTTTCTATAAATAAACCTATTAGCAATAAGAAACTCGAAGTTGATATCATATAGACCATTAATTATTTAAAAATCAATTATATAAAAGTTGGGCTTATTTTCTTTGATAATTTTTAAAAGAAATTTCATATAAGGATAAAAATCTACTGAAGTAAGGACTAGTTATAGTTTTGACTTTTTTATGTAAAACATTGTCATCCTCCTGCATCCATCTTAATTCATAATAGCATAAAGACAAATTCAAATTCTTTCTTGATGACATATACCTCTACAAGATATAAAGTAAGACTTCAACTTTTGAATCTTCAGGTTTAATTACATCTATAAAATGAGCTATTTAACTTTAAGATCGATATTATAAGAAAATATCCACAATTTATTAATCCAACTTTCCTATTAACTTAAACTTTAACCAAGGCATTTTACAATTAATAATCTTGTCTATTGTAGAGAAGGTTTAAGAGTAATAAAAATTTTGTTAAGTATTTTATATTTGCTAATCTTATTGCTAATACTTTAAGTTTTTCTCAATAGAATCTAATAATTGAATTTCAGATTCATGATTTATAATACTATCAACTGTTTGAGGAATTAATTGAGGTTATAAAATTGCTGGAGACATATGTTCAGACTTAATTAAAGAGGATTTTTTCTCATATTTGGCTTAAATTGCTGCAGTAATCAATTTTTAAATGTCTGGATTTAATTCTATGATATTTTTTTAATATATTTTTGATATCAATAGATAACGATCTGTGAATGTATCAATAGATGTTCCAAATATTGATAAGATATAATTTGAATAGACATATTCAAGTATTAAATAGCATAATTTAAAGATACAACTTAGTTGATCCAAAAATAAATTTGCCAATTGTTTGTTTTCTCGAAATTATCGGCTTAAATTTTAATCGATATATGTATTATGTGGAATATTTTCATCTAATAATAATTGCTCTTAAAATCTATGATTATCTGACAAACTACGCTTGACGAATGTATTTCTAATTAATTGAGCGTTTACTCTAACATCTCCTGCATTATAATTTGATTTAGTAATTAATTACAAATTCTAATCTAATTCGAAAAGTTCATTAAGGAATTAATTATAATGAAAGATGATTTAATTATAAAGATGTTTTTCTCTTTGTTGAATATCTTTAGAAATATTCTTCGAAATTTTTTATTTTTCTTCTTCTGTTGGATAGGATCCTTTTATAAAAGAATCTAGCATTTTTTAATTCATAAATTTTGATAATGACTCTATGTCTTTTTCAACAATATTCTAATTAAGACTTATGAATATACTTTGTGGAATTATATGAAATAAGAGTCCTTACATTATTCTATAAATTAAGTATTAGTCAAAATTAAATTCTGAAAAACAAGTTTTCCTTTATTTGAATCCCTAAGAGTTGGTTTTTCAGATTTAGGAGTCTCTTCTGAATGACAATAATTTCCCATTTAAATTATATATATTATAGAGTTAATATCGAAATTAATTTAAAGTATTCATAGAAAACAGTTATTACACATGAATGATTCAAATTAAATTTGTTTCATTCTTTTATATTATTTGGTCAATTCTCAATTAATCAATATCTACTACATAAAATTGTGTAAATTAAATAACAAACATTGGTAGACATAATTTATAATATTGATTAGACTCTATTTCATAAATCATTTTATTTATTTTATTATCTGCTAATTATCAATCATAACTTAGTAATACCTTTAGATATTGTTATTTTATTATAAAGTTACTGTTTAATGAATCAATAACATATAATAATACTTTATCTTGAATTACTACTTTTCTTTCATCAATTGATTATCAGACCTCAATATAGTTATCGTTTTCATATCCTAAAGCAATTATCAATATTTTTATTTTTTTATTGTTTCTTCAAATCTCTTTATAATTTAAATGGATTATTACCTCACTCGAAACTATCTTATGTAATTGAAGATATTTTATAGTTCTAGAATTGTCTTCATAAATTTTTTATAAAACCTTTTTTAAATGCTCCAACTCTTTATCATTATTTCACTAAATCAATATTAGTTCTTTAAATAGTTCTTTTATGCATCTGCAATTTTCAAAGTAATTATTTAGTTCTATTTACTAAAGAAAAGTAGCTTAGGTTTTAAACACTCTGAATATCTTTTTAATATTTAATTGTCATTAAGAAAATCAGAGAGAGGCTTCTTCAATTATAAATAATAAATTAAAAAATAGATCAATTGGCATCTTCTTACCATTTAAAAATTATTAGTAAAATTACTTAATAATATCTAATTTATATCATTTTACTTAGAGTCAAATTTGAAAATTATTAAGTTTTCTAATATTATTAGCCAAATAACATATATGTAGATATTTGCCTTTTAATGATCAGAATAGGATCTATCGTATAGTGGTTAGTACCTGAGGCTCTAACCCTCAAGACCTTGGTTCGAGTCCAAGTAGGTCCTTTTTTTAATTAGCTTTTTTTTGAATAATAAATTTAACTTATAATCAGATGTAAGAAGCTTATGTGCTCCATGATCAGTATAGGAATCAATCAATGTAAAATTACATTAGTGGAACATCTCGTCCTCTTTATTTCAAGCGACCACTTGTACCAACAATGACTGACACTCCTTTAAAATTGAGTCAACCTCCAGTATAATAGATAAAGGAATAAGTTCTTCCTGCCAAAGTGACAATAGAAAGAGTAGATTAAAAAATTAAATAGTATAGGTTAAGGATGTTGAGATTTAAACAGATTATAGAGATGCTGAAGCTTAAACTGACCCTTATACACCTGCTCATGATCAAAACGATGATTAAACAATAGAAATTTTGGCTTTATAACATTTAAAATGGGATAAAGGTTTGCCTGCTTCAATAGAGGAATTAGAATCAATTGAATGGAATAGAGAAAAAGTATGGTTTGAAAATTCGTTACCTCCTATTTCAGATGAAGCCTCATTTAAATTAAGGAGAGCCTTAATGAAATCTTAGGAGGAGAGGGAATGGAAGAAGAAAGAGACAGACATTAAAATGTATTTAGCCATCTTTATGGTATTTTAGTACTTAAAATGAAAGATTATATTTACTTTAAGAAGCATTAAAAGAGAGAGAAAAGGATGTAGAAGAGAAAAATGCTTAGAGAATTGAAAGCATAAAGATTAAGAAGACAGAATTAAAGAATAGAATGGTTGCAAAGATATAGAAGAGAAAAATAAAGATATTAAGAAAGATGCAAAAGAGTAGAAAGGAGATTGATAATGAGGATAAGGGTAGAGAGATTATTGAAGATTATGCTAATTTTGCTTCTAAAGTATATGCAGGAATTACTAGAGAAGGATTGAGTTTAGATAAGATTGCAAGCAAATATGAGGTTTAACCTGTTGCTCTCAATACTTATAAGGGTTTAACTGAATTATCCACCACAATAAAGCCATCAATTTTAGAAACTACTGTAAATGTGGCTTAATTTATAAAAATAATAGAGAAAGATTATACTAGATTGGAAATATAACATAAAATAGAAGTAAACAAAGCAAGAAATTAAATATTTGGAACAAATAAGCAAGATTAATCTAATGAAAATTAAGCAGATCATATAGGAAATAAGAATATTATAATAAGACCAGCTACACCCACATATAATTAAGAATTTGAAAATGGAGATATAAAGAGATAAGAGATGAAGTTTGAAAATTATGAATAATTTAAAGAGGAAGCAATTAAAAGATAGGGAGAGGATAAAAGAAATTCAGCTGTAGTCTTACTATAAAGACTATTTAGAGGAAGAGCAATGTAAAATATCATGTATGAAGGAAAAGAGAAGGTATTGGATTATGAAATAAAAAATAGAGAACTGCTTTAATTGAAGAGCTTTTAACTGTAGCAAAAATTCCAGATTTACCAGAGGCTGAATAGGAAGAAATTTTAATGCAATAACATGAAGAAAAAGTGAAGAATGCAGCATTAGAAGCTATTCAAGGGGAAGTGATAGCTGAGACTTTAGATATGCTTAGCAAAGAATTACTAAGAATAAAATAAGAGAAGAAAATAGCATAAATGATGAAATCTGCAGAGGAAGATAGGAGATTAAGAGAAATTTAAGAGGCAGGAACAAGATAAGCTGAATAAATTCTTAGAGATAGAGAGGATGTTCAATATAATCAAATAATGAGAGTACATTAAGGAACAGTAGATACTTATTTACATTGGATATTCAAGAATACTATAGAGCAAGGTATAGAATTCGAGGATGTGAATAGCTGCCACAAGATAGGCTACAATAATGACAAATCTAAGGAAATAAAAGATGAATGCACCAGTTGAACATTTTGAAAGAAAGTATAATAGTGATGAAACTATCATAAAAGACCTGGTATAATAATTCTTAATACCAAACGTATAGAGGTCTAAGTTGTAAAAATAAAGTATTTAATTAAAAATATAATAAAGTATAAATTGAAGAAAGAAGATTTAATGAGGCTGCTAAAAAATCTATTTAAGCAACTTTATCTTCAGCTGCATAAGAACTTAATCAAAGATGATTATAATAATAAATAAAATAATGTAATTTTAATGGATAAATTATGTATCATTCTCAAATTAATTAGATTAATAATAGGATGTATATTATTAATTCTAACCTAAATCCTTAACTATTTGTTATATTTGAATCAGTTCCATTCGTTGTTCCATTTGTGGTATTATTAGGTTATGTATTTCCACCTGAACATGAAACACATTTGCTTTGGGTTGTACTCCAATAATATGTGTACTATGATAAAGAAAAGCAATTATCAGCTGTAAGATCTCCTGATGGATCTCCTTCTTAACATTGTTTTTTAGTTTCACTCCAAGTACAGAAAGTTATTTTTTCATTCTTTCCATCAGTAGTTGAAGTTTTAAATGGGTTACATAAACCTTTAGTTAACACTTATTGATTTTTGCCATAACAATCCATGTCTTTGCATTAAGAATCAGTTGTAGTTGTACCATTTGTAACAGATGGAACAAAATAACAATTACTCATTTTTTCACATTTAGCCTAATTAGAAGAAGCATTTGAACAAGCATTTAATTCTAAACATCCATCAGTTGTACTAGATACTTTTCCAAGTCTCCATACACATTCCTTCTTATCTGCTTATTTATTAAGATTACAAATAGCTTCTTTTTTGTAAACAGAACATTTGTCAATAGCAATACAAGATTTAGGTTCAGGATCATAAGCACAACCAACTTTATCACACTCATCTTAACCAGTCAGATTAGTGTAATCACTACATACTTTATTTCTGCATGTTGATTTTTCTTTATCATAAAAGCAAGGAGTATTTTTTAATCCCAAAACACAATTTTTATCTGTGTAACTACTACACTCTCCAATATTTATACATTTAGTTCCATCTGTAGTGCATGATGTTGATAATTTGTTGCAAGCTTCATGAGTTGAACCTGTACCATCCTAGCAAGTCCAGAGACTACAAGCAGTACCTGACCAAGCACATTTTCCATCTGTACCTCCAAGATCACATAATTCCTTAGTGGTAGCATCTGAGCAATTTTTTATAGCAACACAGGTTTTACCATCTGTTGTACAAGTAGGACTATACTTTTGACAATCAGCATGAGTTAATAATTCAACATCAGTACATTAACCAAATGTTTTACAAGTATTTGCTTTAGCATCATAACCACAAACTTTATCATCTATTCCTATACTACCAATACAATTTTTTTCTTCTTTAATTACAGAACATGGTGTTTTAGAAACACATGTATTACCTCCATTAGAATAACATTTATTTGATAACAATTTACAAATTTCTGTTTCACTAGCAATTTATTCAGCAGTTTTAACTTCATTTTCTTTGGCAGGTGTTAATGGATAATCAGAACATTTATTATACATAATACATGTTTTATTAGTAGAATCCCAAACACATGCATTTGATGCAGAATCTTATAAACATAAACTAGCTGATCTAAGTGTTGAACAAGTATAATTAGTCTTATCTTTACATCCACTTATATTATCATATTCACAATTAGCCCCATAGACTGCACAAGTCTCTTTATTTTTCACATTTTAAATAGTATTACAAGTAGCTTAAACACATGCTGCACCATTCCAAGTGCAGAATACAGAAGATTCAGATGTTAATGAATTTTCACATTCTGTTTATGATTTTATTCCATTACAAGCAGTAATCTTTTTTTAACATTTTTAAATCTTTGCACTATAAAAACATAAATTAGAATAAGTATTGCATTATTGATCATTAGTTACTGATGTAGCATTAGCACAATCTTTAGGTTTACATTTATCTTCAGCTTTATTTGCATCATCTGCAGTACATTTACCATCTGTACCAATATATTTTTCACAAGTAGTTTTAATACCTTTATAAGAATCACAAGTTGATAATGATGCAATACATCCTTAACCAGTAGTAACACATCCTGCAAAGTATTTATTACAATCTTCATTTGTAGATGTACTAGCTGGAGCAGTAGTACATGATTTAGTAATACATTTAGAAGAATCAGTTGGATTAGTTGTACATGCTTTAGCATTACTTGAAATCATATTATCACAATTTGAAGTATAGTTTTCACAAGTTTTCAAGTCTTTAACACAATTTACTCCATCAAATTTACAAGTTGAATTTCCAGCTGGACAAGTTAGAGCTGATGGTGATGTGATTTTATCACAAGTAGCTATTGTACATTTTGTAGATCCTTCAGTAGAATCATCCATACATTATCCATCAGATCCTTTAAGTGATGAACAACTTTCTTCTTTTAAATAAGAATCACAAGTATTTAAATTATCTACACATTTAATACCATTGGTTTTACAAACAATTGCAGGTGCTACATTTTGACTTGAATATTTATTGCATTCTTCATCTGTAGTAAAAGTTTTAGTGTTGCAAGAATCTAATTCACATGTGGATGGTGATCCATCCTTTAATTTACATTTACCTTCCTTACTAATATATTATTCACAGCTACTACCTTCAGATACTGTGATAAGAGAACAAGTATTTTCTAAACTCTTTACACAAGATACTCCATTTGTGATACAAGTAGGTGCATCAGTTCCTGAATATTTACCACATTCTTCATTTGTTGTTTTAGTTTAACTTGTACATTAATCAAGACCACATTTATCTGTATCTGTAGATTTACACTTTCCTTCTTTAGTAAATATATTATCACAATTTCCAGTAGTATAACTATCACATTTATCAGCTAAGCTTAATACACAATAAGCTCCATTTGTTATACATGATGGATCTTTAGTCTTACAAGCTGCATCTGTACCTTCTGTATAATCTTCACATTTAGGATCTCTACAAGTAGGTGTTTCACCTGATGTTAATATACAAGTTCCTTTATTTCCTTTCACTTGTGTACAATCAGTAACAGAATATGTTGAACAAGAAGGTAAAGTTTAGAAACAAGTCAAATTATTTGTAATGCATCCTTTTAAATATGAATCACAAGCAGTATCAGTTTTTGAATCTGTAGCACCTTCACATGTTTTTGATTAACATTTAGTTTTATCACTACTTTTTAATTCACATGGTCCATTCAATGCATTTACACTTAAACATAATTCTGCTGTATATGCATCACAATTAACTAATTAAGATAAACATTTTTTTTTATCACTTACACATTTAGCATCTTATAATGCAGCTGCACAATCAGCATCTGTTGTTTTTTCATAATCTGAACATTTTTTTGTTATGCATTTATTATCAGTAGTATCAAATTTACACCATTTATCCCCATTTTATTAAGTTATACTTTCACATTCAGTTTATTAACCTTCTCCACTATACTAACTACATACATCATTTGAAGTGCATGTTTTTAATTCTTTATTGTAATTACATCTAGAAGAATACTTTTAACATTCAGCATTTGAATTACCCAAATATGATTAACAATCTCCCATCATAATACATTTATTTTCAGAAAATACACAACCTTATTACTTTGAACAAGTTTTTGAATCTGTACAAAGCTTTGATACAAATCTTGTTGTTGTTGTTGTTGTTTCTGGTTAGCAATTTTTAGCTGTACTATCCCATTTACATTTAGAGTTTAAAAGACAATCACTTTGAGCTTAAATTGTAGTACATTGGCAAACATCATTTGAATTTACACTTAAGCTGTTCACTTAAAACAATAGTAATGTTATTGAGATCAATATGAATTTCATGATTTAAAATAAAATATGAATTATTTTTGAATTAGTTCTCCTTTTATACTAATTTTCAATCAATTCTGTAATTTAAGTAATTTTTTAGTCTATTTAATATAAAAGTATACTTTTTGCTTAATATAACTATTTCTTTAAGAAGTTTTTATAATTTTTAAGATACATATAAATATGTATTCTATTAAAAATTGTCTACTTTATTTTTGACTTCTAATTATACTGATTTATTAAATGTCTAATCTGAGCTTTATTATTAGAAATTATTAACAAAAATATCATTTTTATTTTACTTTTTCATATTGTTTTATAAAATATATAATTTAAAGAAAAATACTTTAGAAATTAAATAAATATTATAGTAAAAATTAATATGAATATTTTATAGTAAGGAAAATANTCATCTGTACCTTCTGTATAATCTTCACATTTAGGATCTCTACAAGTAGGTGTTTCACCTGATGTTAATATACAAGTTCCTTTATTTCCTTTCACTTGTGTACAATCAGTAACAGAATATGTTGAACAAGAAGGTAAAGTTTAGAAACAAGTCAAATTATTTGTAATGCATCCTTTTAAATATGAATCACAAGCAGTATCAGTTTTTGAATCTGTAGCACCTTCACATGTTTTTGATTAACATTTAGTTTTATCACTACTTTTTAATTCACATGGTCCATTCAATGCATTTACACTTAAACATAATTCTGCTGTATATGCATCACAATTAACTAATTAAGATAAACATTTTTTTTTATCACTTACACATTTAGCATCTTATAATGCAGCTGCACAATCAGCATCTGTTGTTTTTTCATAATCTGAACATTTTTTTGTTATGCATTTATTATCAGTAGTATCAAATTTACACCATTTATCCCCATTTTATTAAGTTATACTTTCACATTCAGTTTATTAACCTTCTCCACTATACTAACTACATACATCATTTGAAGTGCATGTTTTTAATTCTTTATTGTAATTACATCTAGAAGAAAACTTTTAACATTCAGCATTTGAATTACCCAAATATGATTAACAATCTCCCATCATTATACATTTATTTTCAGAAAATACACAACCCGATTACTTTGGACAAGTTTTTGTATCAGTACAAAGCTTTGATATGAATCTTGTTGTAGTTGTTTAAGTTGTTACTGTTTTACACTTTGAAGTTGTACTATCCCATTCACATTTAGAGTTTAAAAGGCAATCTTTTATTGTCTAAACTGTTGTGCATAGACAAACATCAGTTGAATTAACAGTTACGCTGCTTACCTAAAATGAAAGCAAAGCTATTGAGATCAAGAGGAATTTCATGATTTAAATTAAAATATGAAATATTTTTGAATTAAATCTCCTTTTAAACCAATATTTTTTTTTATCATCTTTTATCTTTTAAAGCATTTTACTCTATCATTCTTAAATTTATATATTTTGAAAAATATTTATATTAATCCTAATTTTTATTCTCAAGCACACTTATTTCTAACTCAATTTCTAAGTTTTATTAATTTAATATTTATTACTATTCTATATATTGAATGACTCATCTCTAATTCTTAATTGAAACTCTTTATCTGAATTATTGACATTATTTGTGTAAGTTTTTTTTTATTCAAATATTATTACAAGAATTCTCACAATAAAAAATCCATAAGGATTAATTATAACTATAAAAAAATTAATTATTAAATTATGTTTTAAAAAATCAATTTGTTGAATCATTACTTTTATCATGATGATTATTAAAATTTAAAGTTCTTTTCTATCTACTCCCTCTTCTAAACATTAAATGAGTCACTGGAGGTTCAAAATAATCACTATTAATAGTGGGCTTTTCTTAAGGGCTTTTTGATATTATATTAAATTATTTTCTAATAGGTATTACTTAAATATCTTTTGAAGCTTTAGGAGATCTTTATGATTATTTTGAACTTATTCTAAACTAAGTCTAATTTGGATTAAGTGCTCCTAAAAATTAAATTGGAATATTTCTATTAGAATTTTAGCTTTCTTAATCAAAAAAAGGATGTTATAATAATTATTAACATGTCTTAACTTTAGAACCTTGATTAAAGATTATATTCAAAAAATCAAAACATGAATCTGATAATGGAGGATCAATAAATTAAAAATCTCTTGTTCCTTCAAATTTATTCATCATAGCATCATCAAGTGCTTGATCAAAATGTAATTGATTTCCTGTTAATAAATTATGCATCACTATTCCTAAAGCAAGTACATCAAGTTTAATATAATATTATTTCTGTTTCTCTATATTTACTTATAAATATTGATAATCATCTTATTCCAAATTAGAATATTATTCAGCTTAAGTGAAACCTATTAAACATGGATTAGATAAATCATGTCTCTACTTAAGTATAATGTTTGAAGTACAAATTTATTTATGATATATATTAAGATCATGTAGATATTAAACTGCTTAAAATAGAGGCTTAATGACAATTTATACTTACTCTTCTTTTAAAGGTTTTGAATTTTAGTAAAATTATGATAGCTTCTATCCTTTTAAGTATTCCTCTAATAAATAAATATGATTATTGCTTTCAAAAACTTCATAAAAATGGAGTAAATGTGGATGTTCCAATTATCGGATTATTTTCAACTCTTTTAGAAATTTCTTCGATTCATAATTATTAGTCAATAATCTCTTTTTATCAAATATTTTAACAGCAAATTCTTGTCTGCTTACTTTATCCTTTGCCTTATAAACCTATCAATTTATTTAAAAAAAAGATATACTATAGTTGAATATCCTTCCCCTATTTTGCTAAAAAGTTAATACTTTTAGCCAAAATCTAATTATATTGTATATTTCTTCATAATATTGATCCATTCATCTAATTAACCAAACATTTCAAAACTTATACCATTTTTACTAAGCTTTACTCCGAGCCATCCTGTTTTTGGATGAACTATTTTTTACATACAAACATTCATCAAATTTATATATTTCTATTTAAGTTTAGAATTTCATTACATCTTCCCCTAATTTAATAAAATTTTGACATATGGATAACTATTTGATTATTAACCTGCTTTGATTACTAATTTAAAATTCGCTTGAATATTATGCAATAAATGGATCAGGACATGTTTTTTGAAATAAAGAAGTATGATTATTGAAAAAGGAATCAACTGAGCAAATTTACAATAGTTGTTGCTTTATCATCAAATATTTATTGTTATAAATAAATAAATTGAAAGTCTATTTTTTTTACTTTTCTATCCTTATTTTATTATATTATATCAAAGTAGTAATAAAATTCAATGATACTCATTAATTCTCATTTAGAAAAAAAATCTATTTTTTAATATTTCAATTATATCAATCAATTAAAAATAGTATAAAATAGAAGGAAAATTCGAATTAGAATAATATTCATTAAAGTTATTTTTTATTTTTATCATTTATGATATTGATTATCTAATTATAGGAAAGAAAGCACATTATATAATTAATTAAAAAGTATTTGCAAATTATATTTAGATTATTTAAGGAAATAGAAATTAATATGAAATTTTATTAAATATTGGAATATAAAATGGTTATTTTATTGACAAAATTGTTTGAAAATAAATCATAGTAACAATAGGCATAAAATTCAATCATTAGATCTTTTATTTCATTTTTGGCAAGATATTCATTCTTGGCAACTGATATAAATTACTTTATCTTCTTTCTGATGTTTATGATGGAGGTTTAACAATTGTTTCTAATTTGTGTAATGTTGATAGTTTAAGAGGTGTAACATTAGGTTTTCTATTTGATAAACTTCTTGAATTACTCTATCTATTTTCAATATATGGGAGTGTATGAACTCTTGACCTTATATCTAAAGAATCCTCATCTAGATTATTTATACTTACCCTTTAATTTTTATCATCAATAGCTTAATATTTTAGGATAAAATTTTTGGGTTCCAATTACTTTTTAAATATATCATTTTTTAAGACTTCAAGTGGTGTGTTTGTTTCACTAATTTAAGTTTCAAAATCAGTAAGTAATAATTATTAGAGTAATACTTCTAATTCATAATTAATTTGCTTAAAATTAAGAATGCTTTTAATCTCATCCATAGAATTTGGTAGATTATATTGATGAAATTGATATCCAGTTAATAATTTAATCAATATAATTCCTAATTATTATAAATCAGAAATATAAGTTTTATCATTTTTCAAAGATGTTCTTTAACTAATCATTTTCTTATTATTGTTTCTTGCTACATTAATTAACATAACTTTAGAATAATGAATTAAACATAAAGAGTTCAAATCTTATTAATACTTAAATGCTATTGATTTTAAGTTTACTTCTCCATGAATATAACCTTTTTTATGTAATTCTTCTAAACCATTTAATGTTTATTTAATGATAAATACAATTTATTCTTAATTAAAATTAGTTTAAGAAATTTTAGAATCTAAAGTGCCTCCTTCAATTAGCTCTTATATTATGTAAAGATGATTTGAACTTTCAAAGATCTCATATAATTTAATTAAATTTTTATGATCTACTTATCTCAACAATGCTACTTATTTTTTGACTAATTCAAGGAGATAATTAGAGCTATGTAGTTAAACTTTATCATATATTCTGGCTGCGTATTAAAATCCTGTTATTTTGTTTTTTATCTTAAATACCTTTCAAATTGATGAAATTTTATTACTTGAAATAAGCTCCCCTCTCCTATTTTCTTTATTATTTTATATTTTTATTGTAAATTGGATTGTATAGTATATTTTTTAAGCACTTCTACCCAATTTTAGACTTCACCATAAACATCCAGTTTTTCTCCATTCTTGCTTAACCTAAATCCTGTTGATGAAGTTCTAGGATGGTAAACCATTTCGAGAAACATATTTCTGACATCAAGAAATTTCTTTTGTATTATTTTTATTTTTACTTCTTCACCGTATTTTATATAATGTCCACCAAGCAATAATGTTTTCAGTATTAATCTGTTTCTGTTGACAACCTGAAGTTCGTCCTATAACTAGAATTACAACATTGTTTATGGTCTATGAATCCAAAACTCTGAGGAATCATCTAAAATAGATTATGTCAAAATGATGGTTTTATTATTCTGAGATTTAATCATTTAAATAATATCAGTGAGAGATAAATATTATCAATAAATTATAAACTGGAAGTTCCGATTAACAAACTTCATATTTTGAATTCAGTTCTAATAAAAATTATATAGGTGAATAATTAATTCGAATATCTCATCTACTCTAAAAACTGAATATAAATATATTTTCAAAATATTGATCAATAAAATTCTTATGTTCTTCTAATTATATTTATTACCTATAAAGTTAATGAATTAAACTAAACAAATTGTAAAAGTAGTTTGTAGGTTAAATTTAATAGTAGTTAAAAAATTCAAGTTAAAAATTGATAAATGAACTACAATAGGTTTTCTTAAAGATAAATATACCTAATAAATTCTAGAATTATAAATTAAGATTTATCTTCAATTTTATTAATATATACTAATCAAATACAAAACAATTTCTAAATTTTCTTTTAAAATTTTGTTATAATTAATGAATCAATTATTGTTGTTAGAATTGAATGAATCTGTTTAAAATCCTTAAATTAAATTTTTTATCTATTAAAAATGACTCTTTTTTTTAAACATATTCTTTAAAATAAAGAAATTTCGAATGAGATAAAAAATCTATACTCAATTCCTGATTACTTTTATAATACTGAATTAAGAATATTAATCAATTTATTATTATTCATTAATTTATTGTGCATTCGATGGATTAGATGATATTTTAAAGAAAAATAAAAATTAATTATTATGTCACTTATTTTTGGTTACTTTTTATTTATATATGTTTAAATGAATAGTAGAGATTGTTCTTGGGTGAAACAAAATAAAAAATAAGATAATTTATGAATTATAATTATAAATAAAAAGCCTCACATAGAAGAAATACATTTTAAATCTTTTATTAAAAATATATTTTAAAAAAAAAATATTATGGCTGACTTGAAAGAAAAGAAAGTAGAAGATGAATAACAAGTAAAAAAAATTAGAATGATTGTTACATCCAGAAACGCTTAAGATTTAGAAAATTTCACTACTTAAGTCATTGAAAAGGCTAGAGGAATTTAAGTAATAAATAAATTTCAACATTAAGAGAGATTAAGGATAACAAGTTGTATTCAAAGGACCAGTTAGAATGCCAACAAAACACCTCAAAATGACTGTCAGAAAGAGTCCATGTGGTGAAGGTTCAAAGACTTGGGATAGATTTGAAATGAGAGTAAT